CAACCAACATTTTAAAATTTATGGTAAATTTTTCAGTTATTGTTGAGATTTCGCGCCATTAATATCAATTTATTATTTGGTTATACAAAATCGCGTGTCTTAACCACAATTCAATAAAAGTAAAGTGCTTCTTTTCACTTTTCAATATGATTTGGTTTATGTCAGTCTTTTTGATTTATTGCGTTTTTATGAAATCTTTTCAATTGATAATTTTTCCTATGGTTAATGAAATTGAAATAATTTAAATAAAACGCGCATGAGCAGAGTTGACAAATATCTTCCTGGTCTTTTCTTTTTTTCCAATGTTGGCCGTTTTCGCAAAAATTCCCCATTTAATCCCATGAAATATCTACTTTAATGCGTTATAAAACTGTAAGACAAAGAAGTGGCCACTGCAGATAGTGGAGTGAAGAATGTGAGACAAATTGGCGAGCGCGAAACCCATTCATTGGGGATGTTGATGGAATGCCCGTGTGCTCGAACAAGACATTAAGTTGCCGCGGCGGAGCACGTGATAAATCTAATTGGCGAAAGAGAGTCGCACGCTACCATGAGAGATGCCGAAGATGCCCAGTCTTATGCAAGCTGATGTCATCGAAGAACGAGAAAGTACTGGGTCGATTAAAAGAGACTCGCTGAATAATTCATAAAGACTCTACGGACCAGTTGTGCAACCCGCAGACTCTCACAGAATGCGTCCGATGCAATTCTGCAGCGAAGAAGCTCCGCGGAAGGTGCAGTGAAAGTCCATTGAAGTCTTGTGGTCAGGCTTCGCAGATGTGCGCTTTTGCTGGCTTTTCAACTTCTCCCATCTTAGATATTCGTCTCGTTCCGTATCACATTACCACAAGGCAGACAAAGGCTTCACTAATCGTAATTTCGCGAAGGAATAGTCGCAATTAAAAAGTCATCAAATCGATCAAATCCTTCATCAAAAATCCACGCGATCTTTGCATTTCCTGGGAGAAAATGGATATTCAAATAGCGAGAGTGGTCAAAATTTGCCTATCGGCCGCCCGTTTTATTTGTTTTTAATTGAAGGATTTAATTATGATTTTCGTGGTTGATTTTAATTTCAAAGTGTGGCGTGAGCATCTCAGCGCCATGGATTTCCTCAAAAATCTTCATCATGCCATGCAAATGATGACGATTAAACTCTCGAGGTTTTGCATGTGGCCATAAATCAGTCAAGATGGTCGCACATCGTGAGCTAAATTGTCACTAATGAGAAGAATTCGCGTGAATTTTTTCGCTAAGCAGCAATTCTGCGGACACTTTCACGAAGTTGAGGAGCGTCTGAGAATGCCAATTTGTCTCATCAATCCGATGAAGGCTATTAATGCTTGCGCAACGACTCATTGAGCTGCAATTGAGTGAAGAGTTATGAGTCCATTGATGATGACAACTCCTCAAGAGAGATCTAATTGAATTACACGCGATGATATGCCATCAATGGAGATATTAACCCTTTCACCTGTACATTTAGTCTCTTTGTGACAAGTGTATTTGGAAAAATATCAATATTCAAATAGACACAGATTAGGAATTGTCTTATTTAGTGTGAAACACTTTACTTTTTCAACACCATCCGAGAGCTGATGCGCAAGTTCTCATGGGACTGAAGTGGTCTTTGTTTTTCCGCGGCACATGCTCTGAGCGATAGTTGGAGTGTTGATTAATGGTCTTGAGGATCATCAGTGATGATCTCTAGAGAAGGAGCTTATGGAACGAGTTAGCGCCTCGGCTGGGATGACTTTCTGGTTCTCCAGACTAGTTTCACTTTCATTTGCAGGCAAGCGAACAAAGACCTGATCTTGCGCTTGGCAAAGGTGTCGCATTGCCTGTGAAGGTGCGGAAGAGTCAATTTCACGCAATGCCACGCCGTGGAAATGCTTCCACCTCCGCATTTGTCGCTCCATCGTCATTTCCTCAAGTGCACAATCTCATTCATTTGCTCATGTTATGCCTCCCTTTCATCTGGAAATGGCAATGCTCATCACAATTAAACTGGCAAAGCGAGTCTCATTTCCGCATTTTTGCGCGATGCAGGGCACGAGAGTTAAGTCAAAGATTGTCTGTGTGAATTATGGAGTTGGTAAATTGCTCATAAAGGAGCCACTCTGCCAGCGAGAGACGGGCAAAATGATGGCTAAAAGCACTCAATTTCATTAAAGCTCATCACAGTTAAGCATTAGATAACATTAAGGCCCAGGAGGGGAGTCAGAATGGGCTTTTGCCAGATGGTAGTTAAATTTGAATTTCAGATCAACAGCCATTCTTGCTCAACTTCTTGCTCAGCAGACCATTTGATCGTCCCATCTCGATCCATTTCCGCACAACACAACGCCTCCATTTGCCACCTTTGTCGGTGACTCAGAGACAAAGAGATGAGGTCAAGAGGAACCACATTGGGCCATAAGTCAAGAAGGAATTCACACGAACTTGGAAAAATACAGAATTTCATGCAAATTAATGATTTGCTCCACCTTGAAAAATGACGAACCTGCAGCTACGGATCGAATGTGATCTCTGCACGGGGGCTTCTGTGAAATCTCCCTGCTCGATCTTTTACGAAAACATGTTGGCACTCAACTGAGTGGCACTAAAGTGTTTCATATTTCACATAATTATGTGGTCAACGATGCGACGGTGAAAAGATACACACAATGGTAGTCCTCGTCGCTAAGTGACTAGAATTTATGGTTTCTATCATAAGAAGACATTATAGAAGCAGATTTAAAAAATAAATTATTTCACACACTATTTGCCCTACATCTGTTCAAATTATTGCTTCTTTTCGCCCACAATTGCATTCGTGACTTGGTCATATGAGTCAAAGCATTTTTTTTTAAGTAAACACAAAACTTATTTGCAATTTGACGAAATCAAGGTCTCGGTCTTCGGCTTCACTTTCCCTCACAGTTGAGCACTGGGAGTTTTTGTCAAAATTTCCACCTCATTGGCGCCTTTTATTAGCAACATCTCACTCTTTTGCATAATTCCTCGTGGTATATTTTTGGCTAACTTGCGATATTTATTGACTCTGTGCAGTGGATCTTTTTAACATGTGGCTAAAGAGTAGGTTTATTGATTTTCTCAAAGCGCAATTGAGAGGTCAGAGGTGATCAAGTGTGAAGAAGCGAAAGTGAGAAGAGAGTTTGCAACTATACAGCACTTCATGTGCTTCCGGCAACCTTCGCAAGGGATTCTGCAAACAGATATCAATGGCATTCCTCAATGGTTGAGTGTCTTTGAAATGATTTGGTGCGCTTTCTTCCGTCTCTCCGCCTTATGTAAGTTAATCTGCATTTCCAACCCGTGCCGCCATCGAGACTTTTGATCGAAATGCCATAAAAAAAAGTCTTCCTACATCTTGTCATGACAAATAACACTTTATATTTATCTTTTTCTTATCTTAAATATCAAATTTGTTTTGCAATTTGTATCATGTGATAAATATTTTGCAATATCTCGAATGCATCTGCGTTTTTTCGCACACTGTGTGCAAATTTGCTTGAACACTCGCCTAAGTTACAAATTGTGCATACATTCGACCACCACTTTTTCTACAGATAATCACTTCAATTTGCAACCTCATCAGCCATGGTCAATCGAATTTCAAGTGCTTTATATTTTTCTTCTGCTCAGCGCGTGTTAATTTATTTGAGTGGCGTTTTATCGCATAGCGCCGGACACCCAATCTTTTCATTAGTGTCCACCTCTTGACATCAATTGTGTCCGGCAGTGATTTATGGCGGTCAATTAGCATCTCCGCCTGGGCTGTGAGTGCGTGCTATGCGTGCGAGGTCGTGAATTATGCATGAGGAGGCTGCGTCGGGCCACACACACCCATCCATGGACCGCCGATTGGGCAAAGATGCGTTACAATTATGTTAATTGAGTCTCGAATCGAACGGTGATTTGTGGCACGAGTTGATGCCACCTTTCAATTAAGTGACGATTAAAGTCATTGGGAAACATTGGCGTTGTGTTTTGGGCCCAAAAGTGCGTCCATTCTTCCACCCTCGCAATGTTACGCATTCCTGCGTGTCTCCACAAAGTGCTTTCGCCGAAACAATGCGTATCACACTTTCTTTCGATATATATTCACGCATAAGAAGTGTCATAAGTTTGCAAATTGCTAAAAATTCAAGCTATCGCATCTGTTCAGATTTGGCGAGTCCATGCATTTGAGGTATTTCAAGTCACATCAATTAAGAAACTCCGCAAAGCAGTAACGCAATGGTGAGATGAACTGGAAGAGTGACCAAAAAAAAAGAAGATGCATTAGTCAAGACGAAGTAATTATTATGACCCACAAATTACCGGCTCCTGATCGATGCGCCATCGCGTGCGACAAGCAATCGACATTTGCCTTCCACCTCGCAACATCTCGCCAATGGCACAATAAAAGACCGGCCAGACCATAAAAAAGATGTCAACACCATCGTTTGTCCGTTATGATTTAACGATGTTTTGAAATGCGATGGAAAAAGGTGGAAATACGCGACGCAGATTTGGTCATGGAACGCCATTGTTTGATTAATCTTATCTGCTTTTGGCGCCGCTAATTAGACGCCAAATTCCGGAGAAAGTTAGTCGCTTTATTGATTTTCCACCAATTGGCCAGGTGAGCAGCTGAGCTCAATTGACAGAGGAGGTCCAAAATTGCATCATCTCTTATCACATCCCACCAATGAGGACCACTCACCTGCGCAGACAGACTCCCTTTCGCTCTGGAAAGACACACACGAGTGGCTGCAGAGAAAGTTTTGGCAATTTTGCCGCAATTGAGCTTCACCTCGGTTCTGCAATTTCCTTAATTAACTCATAAAACTCAACATCTTTACTGCTGTTGGAGAAATGAGAAGACCTCTGATTAACAGCTTCTGGAGTCATCGCATGCATATTATTGAATTTCTGAAAACCGATGATAATCACAGGGAATCACATTTCAAATAAACAGGCCGAAAGGAGTGGCACATTGTTAAACTGTCAATATAAAACGATACTTTATTAATTACTTTCTGGGATATAATACATTGAAATATTACCATCTAGCCTTACAAGAATATCTCATTTACAAAATGTTTTCCAACCATCCGCGCATCTTCCAATACTCAACGACTCTGTCCAACTTTGTTGGCCTCTGGAATGTTGTTCAATCTCATCGCACTCAATCTCCTCGATCATTGACATAAACATAAAAGAAGACACAGGCGGGGGACAAAAATATCCATTGCAACAGACTTTACACCAATGCGATAATTGTGACTCTTCTATTGACTTGAGAGGCACTTTAGATGCTGATCTTCAGCAATCTCTCACAATCATTCGCTCTAAATCGAGGGGAGAAATTTTGGTAATTGCTACTCACGTGATGATTAGAAGAGATCAGCGAGAGGATCATCTCCGGCGGCGGACTTCTTCGTGATCTTCTTCTCCACTTTGCTGACAGGCGCCGTGATCTTCACCGCATCTGAAGATAGAAGTCATTCTTTAAAAGCTTTTTTCGCTAACTTCTCACATCTTTCAACTCACTACTTTTGTTGGCCGCTCCAAACAGATCGTCATCATCCTCATCCGAGTCCCCAAAGAGAGATGTTGGCTTTGGTGTGATCTTTGTCGGTTCACTCGTCGATTTCGGGAGGCTTTTGGGCTTCACCATGGAGAATATATCACTGCTGTCCTCATCGTCACTCTCGAAGAGACTCTTGGGCGCTGACTTCACTACCTTCTGGATCACCTTCGCCGCTTTCTTTTCAGTCTCAGGCAAGTCATCTCCGAAGAGATCTTCTGGCAGTTTTTTCTCCCTCTCAGGATTCTGAACAATTCCCTCCTTCTGATTGTCACTTTCCAGGATCAGAGATTTCCTATACGTCTCCTGGCGACCCCTCCTCGTCGAAGGTTTCCTCTTTTGAGGGATTTTCGCTCTGTTCCTATTTAGATTCACCAGAAGACTTGGATCTTCTGGTTTCTCCTCAATTTTCTCCGCAACCTCTGGCACCTCCTGCACCTCCTCTGGACTCTTCACCGGAGCTTCTTCAGTAGGACTTTCCTGGACATTCTTAAACGATGGCCTTTTAGCTCCTGGCAACAGAGCCGCTACATTTATCGCCATTGTCTTACTCAATTTATTAGGCACGATTTTGGGCTTGTTCAAAGGCTCTTCCGCCACGTTTTCTGGCTTCTCGTGGCGATTTATCAAATTCCTCACACTAGGAATGATTTCATCCGGTTCATCCTTACTTGCTCCACTCTCTTGCCAGTCATCAACAGGCGGCGGTTCATCATTAAACAAATAAGAACTTCCACTTGGATTGACCGAACTCACTTCTGGCGGAAAACTGTCAGCAAAGTCATCATAGAAGACTTCTTTCTCCTTTCGATCGCTCCGGTTGGCAAACAGATCATCGTCCGGCGGAAGATCATCGAACAGAGGCATATTAGTGGTTTTCTGTTGCTCCTCCGTCCGCTTGGGTGTGAAGAAATCATCATCATCATCATCCAGATCATCAAATAGCCCAGGGAGTTTCGATTCCTTCTTCTCTGGTGACACATCTTCCGGAGGTTCACTGAATAAATTCGATGGCGGATGTTTATGGAAATTAGGTGACGCTTCCAGCCAGTCTTCTGGCTCTTCTTCATCTGGAAATAGATTCTCAGGAATTGTTTCTGCCTCTTCTGAAAAAATAAGAAAAGACAAAAAAAAAGAGTTTTAATGGGTTAAGAAATTATTGCATTATCTCATGGAATTATTTAATGACTCATTTCCTCTCACACAAACTCACCAGGTTTTTTTGAAGACTCTTCAATCTTTTGATCAACCGGTGGTTCTTCTACAGGAGGAGTTTCAACTTCGAGGGGAGGTTCTTCTTCAACTATCAGCGGCTTTCTTTCTTTTCTTGAAGTCTCCTTATCCAAAGATCCCTTCCTTAACGATTCAGAACTTTTACTCTGTGCATTAACCGAAGGTTCATCAGTAAGCGGTGTTGTCTCCTTGCTTATTATCTCATGAGGCGTCTCCTTATCCCGTGATTCTTTTCTTAGCGACTCACTATTCTTTTTCTGCACATTTAATGAAGGTTCCTTAACATGTAATGTTCTCTCTTTGCTCATTGTCTCTTGAGGTGTCTCCCTACCCAAGGATTCTTTTCGTAACGATTCAGAATTATTTCTCTGTACATTTATCGAAGGTTCAGTCTTTTTCCCAGTTTCAGAGAAAATATCCTCATCATCTGAGTCATCAAATAAGCTTATTTTCTTGACTGTCTCTACCTTTCTAGGTTCTTTTGCTATTTCTCTCTTCTCTTTTGCATCATTCAAGTCTTCCTTCACTTCTTGAAGTTTTGACTCTTTCTTTTCCACAGGTTGAGACTTCGGTTTTGTCTTCACACCTTTCAAAAGAGTGTCCAAGAAGTCTTCAGGCTCATCATCATCATCAAAAAGATTTGACAGTTTAGGTTTTGTGACCTTTTCCGATGGTTTCTTCAATGAACTCATGAAGGAGTCAAATTCATCATCATTGTCCTCAAAGAGATTCGCCGGGAGCTTATTTTTCTCCTGGAAATCATCCACCGGCGGCTCTTCGTTGAATAGATTTGTGGCTACTTTGGGCTCTTTCACTATTTTTTTGGGCAGATCCACTTCCTCTTCATTATCCGACTCCAAGAATGATCTGCTTTGTCTCGATTTTTGCGTCACCAAAGGCGGTGCCTCAAATTCTGGAGGTTCATCGTCAAAGAGATTGACTGTTTTGTGAGTTTCAGGCATATCCCGGAAGAATGGCGGTGGTTTAGAGTCCGCCTTCGGGGCTGGAGCGTCAAAGTCATAATCCTCGAGATCATCAAAGAGCCCAGTAGCTTTAGATGTGCCAGGAATTCGTGGTGGAGAAGAAGAGAAGAGATTTGTCACAGGATTCTCAGGGACACTCGTGCGAGGTGTGAGTTTAGGTGGTTGGAAGTAGGCTCTCTGTGCAGGCACAGGAGGATCAAAAACTTTCGGGGAGTTTTCATCCTCCGAAGATATCTGCGAGGCACTTTTGTGAGCTGTAAAAATACATTTGTCGTCAGCAGAGCTTTTGGATTCCAAATATTGATATATAATCTTACCTAAGGCATTGCTAGTGGCTTGAAGACCCCAAACGGAGTCTGCCTCCGATCCACCGACACTAGGAAGAGAGACTGAGTGACCAGACTCACTTCCAGAGTCCGAAAACTGAGGATCTTCTTCGTGTTCTTGGTCTGATTCCGAATCTACAAGTCCCACGTGCCACTTTTCTTTGAACTCCTTCGACCCGATGACGTAAGGCAATGGTCGGTGGGCATAAGGATCCTTCGGGCGAAACGCCACACTTCTTCCGGGCTCATCTTCCTCCTCACTGTCCTCGTCCAGTTCCACCTGGATTTTCTCATAGCAATCGTTAAGGCAAGCTACAGAATCCGCGAGGACACTCTTCAGTGTGGACATGGGTGACATCTGACGTGTTTCCGGAGCCTTGTCTGTACCATTCTGAGCAGTCCCGGAAGCCTCATCATCTTCCTGAACTCGATTCTCCACAAACTGCGAGTGCTGCAGAGCTAACAGCCGATTTGTCGTGTTACCCAATTCCACATTCACTTGATCAGCACTTAGGCACATCCGGTTGATGCTCAGCTCAGTTTCTCGGCACCGCGATTCTAGGTTCTGCGAGATCTCTCGCATATACTCGAGGAGTTTGGCGTCGCCGTCAAGGGACCACTTTGTCGCCTCGCGGCGGATCTCTTGCGCCCTCGCCGACGATGGATTCTGTGAAATCAGAATTTAGACACTTTTGTCAACATGCATGGAAAATTATAGCGTCAGAACACTCACCATTTCATGGGAAAAATCACGAAAAACAGAGCACAAAAAGTTCCATGAAAATCTGCCCCTTTGTGACAGTTCACTGACAATTCCACTGCGTCTCACTTTGAACTGTACCGGGAAATGAAAATGCTTCTGCAGTATTTCATATGAATTTCACGGCTTCAACAAACAATAGAATCCTAATGAAAGCATTTTTGTGAATAATAGAGAAATGCCTCACAGGCTGCACAAGGCAATCTCTGTGGCTTTGATCGAAAAGCCTATTTTTTATGAATATCTCCGATTTCACAGTTATCTTGCGGTTTCCTTATCACAAAATGATTTTCATTGTGTTATTCAACTCAGCCATTTCTGTTTGAACCACAGACAAGAGTACATTGAAGAGTTACTTAATTCGCTTGTATTTTATTAAATTTTTGGAAATTCAGCGGATTTCCTTGGAAAACCAGTTTTCCCGCCTTCCGGGTATCCATCTGCCGACTGCAGCGCTGTTTCGTACACGATTTTCTGCAGCAAAAAGCAAAAGTCACATGTGACAAGTGAAATTACAAAAGAAAAATACTGCTGCGACTTTTCTCTGGTGTTTTTCGCGATTTTCCGCAATTTTCCAGGCGAATCGCAGCGCCAGAGTGCGTGAAAAGTATAGGAACGGTGTTTAAGAAGTGATTGGGTGGAATTGACGGGCTTTTCGGCGCTGTATTATGTCCTACGAGACAGTTGGCCAGGATTCCCGTGATCTCAGAGTGACCCTCGTGCGACGCATTCAAGACTAGGCTGCCCGCGATGCTCCTGCTCATCGCTGTGAGTCTCCTGGCAACGCTGGGCCGGAGCCTGGCGTCTGCGGGTGAGGATCTGGCCGGTGGCTTTGATACCAGCTCTCCGCTGGTGTTGGACAGCCTTCTGGAGGAAACTCTCCCGGAAGCGTCCAGCCACCTAGTAGCACTGCCCAAGGCACTGGACTTTGGAGACCAGAGTCTGGGCAGTCCGCAGACGCGTGTGGTGACGCTGGTGAACAGCAACAGCAACCGCAGTGTCTTCCTGGACGCCATCGTGGCCACGGCAGACGCGGAAGCGAGCGTCTTCTTCACGAGCTTCGTGGATAAGGTGATTCCGCCGCTGAGCAATACCTCCTTCAGCGTGATCTTCCTACCCAAGCGCCACGGTCCTGTGGAGACGCACCTCCTCATCCACACCACCTTCGGACTGCTGCGCTTTCCCGTCCGCGGCCGCGGGATTGAATGCCCTTATCGACTGGTGCCACTGGTGGGAATTAAGGCGCCCTTCAACGCCACCATCTCGCCCGAGATCCACCTGTTCAATCCGCACGACAAGCCCATCCAGATCGTGGAGATCTTCTCCAGCGGCGGGCACTTCCAACTCGAGCTGCCCAGCGGCGGTAACGAGGGGCCACAGGTCAGTGAGATAAAATGCAGCATAGTCGCGGGTCAAGGTCAGGGCCAGCATGTCTATAACTGTGCTTGTTTCGCAGGTTCTCTGGGAGATCCCGCCTCTCTGCTCGAAGCCCATCATCCGCGTGCGTTTCGTGGGCGTGTCGCCGGGCAACTACACCGCGTACGTGCGCATTAAAATCCAGGGTCAGGACGCGCAGCTGGCCGAGAAGGTGCTGGTAGTTCCAATCGAGGTGGAGATTAGCCGCGAGCGGGGCCTCTATTCGCCCCTCAGCCTGTTAAATCTGGGCCTGCACGGTTCCACGGATCGCGTCTCCGTGTTTCGCGTGAACCTCACGCATTCGGGCGCAGACAGTGGTGTTCGGGTCACAGGACTGCGGGGCGACAATGAGATTACCAATCGAAGCCTCTCGCTGCAGATTGACGAGGACGCGCGACAGCGATGGCTGATTGTGGAAGTGAACTGGGCGAAAGTCTGGTCGCCGTACTTGATGGGCAACATAGTGATATCAAGTGAAGTGGATGGGGAGCCACAGCTGCCCTATCACATGCCGGTGTTTGGGCTGTTGCTGAACGGGTCTGCCCAGCACGCGGGCAACATAACGATTCTGCTGAGCAACAAGAAGCAGCTGGCAAAGACGCACGGCTTCACGTTCACGAACAAGTTTGCAGTGCCACTTATGGTGACAAATGTGAGCGTGGCAGATGAGGTGGGGATGCACCACCTACGACTGATGGACTTTGACGAGGTGCTCCTGGCTCCTGACGAGTCCCTGACGCTCTTTCGGGTGCAGTTTGTCAATTACACGCAGCCCATCGCGAGAAATTACTCAGTCGTGACGGAGATTCGCATCACGACCAATGCCACTGTGTACACAATTCCCGTGTACGCCTTCACGGGCTTTTTGCGGCGCGTGGTGCCTGTGTACGAGGGGCCCAACATGCCGCAGGGCGATGAGGGTGCGCTGGACTTCGGCACGGTGCCTGTGAGCACGAGCTTTGACTCCAACATTGCGTTCATCAATGAGAATCCCGTGACTGTGGCTATAAAGGGATGGACGGGAAAGCTCACCAGTTCCGCCTCATATAGCATCATCTTACTGGGTTGCTCAGACGGTCCGGCCTTGGCCAATCTCGTGATCTGTTCGGAGCTGGAGCCACGACAGTGGATGGTATTCCAGATCACAGTGAAGAGCTATGGCGTTGGCAACTACACTGGCCAACTCATCGTCAACACAGACTTTGAGGAGATTGTAACGCCCATCCACATGATAGCTGAAATGGGCGGACTGGCGCTTGACCAGGAGTTGCTGCACTTCAAGGATTGTTTTCCGGTAAGCATCTCACATCTGTCGCAATTCCTTTTAGGCATTGGTAGATATATGATTTCGCAGGAATTGAATTTCTATTGTCACTTTAAGTTGAATTGGATTGCACCGCTTAGTCGTGATGGCCAAAATACTGATTTGTTCAAATTGAATAATGATTGCATAATAAGATAGTGTGAAATGAAGTCGTGACAAACTAATTAATGGATGTTTACTTTGTATCTATGCAGGAGAAGATCTGCTCACTGAATCTGAGCGCACATTCGACGTTCATGAAGCCAATGCAAGTGGAGGCAATCAGCGTGATCGATGGCATCATAAACTACGAGTATGCCACGGATGAAGATGTGTTGCCAGAGATTCCGCCTAATATCATCACGAATATTGGGCGGCTGTACTTTGATCCGAAAGGACTGTGCGGAGAGTATTGCTACACTGGTAGCCAAGTGAGCAACAAGATTCACCCGAAGAAGTCCAGTTCTTTGGTCAACTATTCGCACTACACTAAACTGGACAAGGACGTGTTGTCCTTTCGCATAAAGTCCTTCCACAAGATGCGTTCATCCATTCAGAGCATCCCCTTCAAGCTGTCCACCAGTCAGATCAAGAGATATGACTTTGTGGCGAGCGTGAACTTTGTCTGGCCGCGCCTCGTGACTGAACATGTGGAATTCCTGTCCACTCAAGTGGGTCAGGGCATGGCGAAGTTTATCACGATTGACAATCCGTCGGACCAACTCCTTATCACGCAGTACTTTCTGCATGATACTCAAGTTCACGGGCAGGATGTGGAGTTGCCGCCGGAGGTAATCACGCCGTGCTCTACATGTGTGCTGGCCAAGGAGAAACTCTTCGCCTTCCACTCGTTCTTCTCCACATCGTCAACGTTGGAGAATTACTTCGACCATATCCCGCCGCGTGGTAGCAGCAAAGTGGCTATTAGGTTCCAATCACCGCGGGCAGGCACCTTCTCCACGCTGCTCTTCATCCGCAACAACCTCACCATTCTCGAGGCGGTGTGGCTGACAGCGAAGGCGGTGGTGCCACAACTGAAATTTGGCAACCGGAGGCCAGGATCCCAAACACCGCTGCTGTTTGAACTCACGGACAAGCATTTCAAGGTGTGCGCAGATGCAATGGCAGAGCGCGAGAGACTGGAGAAGGAGGGCAAATTCACCGACGATGTCCCTCGAGCGATCATCACAATGAAGAGGAGTTTCACAGCGCGTAACAGTGGCGAAGTGCCCATCACCATCAATGCCATGAAGATAGACTCGGAACTGTGTGAAGGATATGGATTTAAGGTGAGTCACTTCACTTGTTGAGCATGTAAAAGAGACTGAAATTGTGCCTCTTTCAGGTGTTGAACTGCTCAGCATTCGAGTTGGCTCCCAATGCTTCTCGGAAGATTGAAATTGCCTTCTCGCCTGACTTCATTCTCTCGCGGATAACTAGACCACTGATTCTGGAGACTAGCGCTGGGTATCCGGTGAATTACACCCTCTTAAGTACCATTCCGGCTGACGTGGTGACCATGTGCCATCGCGCACTGCTTCGGCCAAGGTGGGAGGCAACCATGAAGAGGGGCACCATGGCGGTGTCGTGCCTGGTACTGATAGGAATTATGGTGTTCGGCTATATCGAGTCCCGAAGACTGATGAAGGCTCATATAGTGGAGAATATGCGTGACAAGGGACCTGTTCTTCCAGCCCTTGACCTGCGGAAGATCACGAGATCCAGTGACGAGCCTTCTCAACCAGTAGTATCTCCTCCTGCTCAGCCTCAGGCCACAAAGAGCTCGAGCTTTTTGGGTTTGGGGACAAAGAAGAAGCTGGGCAAAAAGATAGTGATTGGAGAGGTGAATCCACTGAGCTTTAGTCCTAAGTTCGATCTGAACAAGCAAGTGGAAGCATCCGTGAAGGTGGATTCTGTGAAGACTGAACCGACTCCCAAAACTGAGAAAGTAGTGGAGAATAGAAAATCCCATCCGCTCTCAGAGGTGACGGAATCTGTGAAACCACCAAAATCTCTCTCGCCCAATGCTTCAGTCAGAACAGAGGTGAAACCTTCGCCTAAAAGGTCTCTGACGCCGCCTAGTCCGCAGCAACCTGTTCGTGAAGTCATCAGCAAGGCATCTGTATCGCCAGAACCGGAAAAGAGACCAGCAACGCCTCCGCCAGCACCAAAAACTTTGGAAGTGACGCCACCGGCTGTGAGGAAACATGTGAAACAAGTGGTGAAGAAGACCAAGAGTCTGCCGGTGGCGAATGTGGAGACTTCATCGGTTCTTGCGCCATCTCCGAGTCCTCAGCCAAAACCAGCGGAAGCGAAAGCGCCTACACCTAAACTTGCAGTCAAGGAGCCAGAGAGACAGTCTACGCCAGTTATCGCGGAACGTCCTCCCTCGTCTCCGAGTCCTGACGTGACCTACGAGGTGCAGAATGGATCACAAACTGAAATCATTCGGGTAAGATTGTTTGAAAAGGTGAACTGTGATAGTGAATAAAATTGTTGAATTGCTCATTTTCAGCCCAAGAGGTATGGAAAGACTCCTGGACGAGAGAGACGATCGCGATTGACGAAGAGGAATGGACTAACAAAGCCACAATTCAAGCCATCGACGACATCTTTCACTTCACCAATGGAAAACTCACCGGAAGCGCCAGCTTCGAGTGTGTGGGATGAGAATAAGGCCTCCTTCAGCTATGTGGTAGCGCAGAAACCGCCAAGTCCTGAGGTTGTGTCCACTGAGAAGATTGGCATGGATTTCGGTGTGTTTGCACAACCTCCAGCACCGGTTGAATTGCCCAGGACTGATTCTGCGATGAATGGCGTGAGCACACCGGTGTGGAAGGTGAATGAATTGGGCCCCATTGGGACGAAGAAGAGTCCTCGGTCGTCCAATACATCGTGGGTGGATGTGGAGCCGATGCGGAAGCCACTGGGTCAGGACAATTTCAACCTAGAGACGCTGACTTCATTGCAGGACAATAGTAACTCTTTCTACTCGGGGTCGACGACTGTCTTGGAGACGTATCTGAAAGAGAAGCTGCAGTACGCGAGGGAGAAGCAGAAGGCGACCAATTTGAATCTCCAGCATAGTCAGGACAAGGCGGAGGAGCTGAATGGTGGCGAGTGGAATTCACAGAGTCTGTGGACGAATGGATTTGAGCAGCCGCGCTGGCAGCAGAGCCCCATTCGACGTCCGCCGCCTGGTCTGGACTTTCTGCAGCGCAACAATAATCAGTCGCTCTTCATGAACGGTATTGGTGGCAATGATGAGAATTACAACTCGATGCCCGCGTACGAGCTATTCAGCTCGCCATGGGAGCACGAGATGGCGTCCAATCTTTGGCAGAATTCTGGTCAGAAATACCCGAAGAAGCAACAGTAGATGTGTGACCCCTCAGAGGCAGATTTCCCGATTCCTCATGAATTCCCTGAACTACCCCATAGATTCCCCCTACATTTCCCCTGGTGTTTTACAGCTCCCGGGCAGCCTGGGAGCGCCCCCTTTTACGGTGTTGAACGGTGAAGAGTGGCTAAAGTGAAATCTATCCTCGAGGTTGTATTTGATGTGAAAATATGAAATAATCATTACAATTTAAATGTAATACATGGATTATGCTGACGAACACTCACAATTTGAACATTACTGAATATATGAAATCATAAGAGCAAGCATGAGATGATTTTTTCTGCGCTACGTCGCTTAAAGATTGACGCGACTTTTAAAATCCTTCCTTCTATTGCCTATTCGATCTGTTCATTAATCATGCATTCCTCAGCTTGAAAAAGTGAGGAAATCCGCTGAAGATCCAATGTTTAGGCATGCTTATTTTTGGCTCGATGCCCATTGAATGTGTTCGGAAGACGAGATTCTCTCAACGAGTCTGAATTGCCTCGACGATGGACGTATTTAATTCAGTTCGTTTCTCGCTCTGGCCAGTCGCGAATATTATTTTTAGGCCCATTTTGCGCCAGTGACTTTTCCACCCTGGTGCAAAGATGGAAGATTTTGATCCCGGTTACACGAAAAAGTGCAGCACAATCACAGTTTTCTCCCTGGAACGCGGATTCTTTCGGGAGTTCCATGAGAGTGTGCGAGAATCTTGCGGAGAAGAGTGGATTGAGTGTGATTTTGCGAAGACCGAAGGTGGAAAAGCAAAATTGAAGAAACTGCTGGATGACGATGCGAGTGCGGGCCCGATTCTGGGCACACTGGAGCACGTGACGCCCATTTTCAAGGAGAAGGACTTCTCTCAAGCGCTGAAGAAGCGTTTTGAGGGCGACAGGAAGTTATTAGAGAGTAATTTCCAAGCCGCTAGAATTCTCTTCAGTCAGGCTATAATTAAGGCGCCTTATGGAGATTCGGAGAATGAACGGAAGTTCCTTGCTGAGACGCTGTGGAAGCGTTCAGAAGCTCTCATTGGACTGGAGGAGGGCGAGAAGGCGCTCCAGGACATGAAGTATGCCACAGAAATGGGATTGCAAGTGAAGCAATCTCCTGAGTACTTCTGGAGGATGGCCAAATGCTACATACGTGAGTAGTACATAGTCAAAAGTGAATTCTCATATGTAAAATGTGTACAATTAATAATCTTCTCAGAGACTAAGGACTTCAAGAAGGCCAGAGTATCGCTGGCACTGGCGGAAAAACTCATGGGAAGTGATCAAATTATACAGGAGAAAGTAACAAAAGACAAGGAAGAATTAGAAATGCTGCAAAATTTGAAAACTCTCCAGAAGAAGGACATTCTGGATGACTTGAGTGGCAAGAAATCTGGTCAGACTCTCAATGGTCCCTCTGATAAGTTAGAAATCGCCTCTAGTCCATCGAAGGGAAACTTCTTTGCAGCATCAAAGAACATCAATCCAGGAGAGGATGTAATCTGTGAAATTCCCGCTGCCTCATGCTTGCTGCCTGAATTCTTCGGCAGTCACTGTTTGAATTGCCAGCAACGTCTGGTAGCACCCATAAGTTGTCCTGATTGCTGCTCCGTCGCATTTTGCTCGCAAGAGTGCCAAAAGATTGCCTGTTCGTCGTATCATCGCTTCGAGTGTCGCTTTCTGGATCTTCTCATTGGATCTGGGATGTCAATCCTCAGCTTCATCGCTCTCAGATTGATCACTCAATCTGGATCGTATGAGAAAGCCGTGGAGAATGTCCAGAGTCTCCTCGACAGTTTCTGCAGACACAGCGAGATGCGTTCTGGAGATGATTATCTCCAGCGCTGCCTCATGTCCATCTTCTTGATGAGAATTCTGCAAAAGAGTGGCTTCTTTGGCCGAAGGACTACTGAAAGCGTCGAACCCACGCCCAAGGAACTCCACGTAACGGAACTGATCCTCAAACTCCTCGAAGGATTGCAATTTAATGCCCATGAAATCTACGAGACTCTCTTGGGTGCCCAGCATGCAGTTATCGGATCAAAGATTATTTACATTGGCGTTGGGATTTACCGAAAAGCCTCTCTCTTCAACCATGACTGCTTTCCTGCCGTGGCGAGATATTTCTCAGGCAACCGTCTTATCCTCACTGCCCTGAGGCCCATCCCAACCGGCAGTCCAGTGACTGAAAACTATGGGCCCGTGTTCACTAAGCAGGATACCCGGCAGAGACAGAGAAATCTCAGATCTCGCTACTGGTTCCACTGTGATTGCCTCTGTTGTCAAGAGAATTGGCCGAAGCTTGAGGATCTAACCAATAAATCCCGAATTCGTTGTTCCAGCTTCCAGTGTGCCAAAGTTTTTCCCTTCCCGGATCATCCTGAGCGAAAAATTAAGTGTCCTCAATGCAAATCTCACGTATCTCTGCTGGACAACGTGGTGAAGCTGAAGGAGGCAGAAGATCTGTACAGAAAGGCAGCGGAAGCGATGGATGTAAGTTGAATTTTATATCAAACGTTGACCAGAACAATTATGACATTCTTTGAAAACTCCTTTTCCAGCGAAATGAGATCTCATCGGCTATTGATCTTTTCGAAGAGGGTATCCAGACCTTCTTCTCAGTGGCTCTACCTCCTCACAAAGATACCCACGTGGCTATGGAGTCCCTGAGAGTTTGTTATGCATTGCTTGGAAACACTTTCATGAAGTAAAATTTCTTATGAAAACAATAAATAAAGACTTATGAGTGTGAAAAGTTCGATCATGGAATCATTTTCCTCTGAATCTTCAATAGTTTTATTTTCTTCTGTACTTTCCTTGCTGAAAGAGATAATGTACAATATTTTGTAGAATATTTTTTTCTCAAATTCACTCAATAATTTTTTGTGATCCGTTAAAACAGCATTTTGAAGTCAAGTACCTTCACGTGCCGTTGACGCCGAATCGGCGCTGGTAGTCAAAGAACGCCGTGGGAAGGAAAATAACATTGGTCCACAATTCTCCGTTTTTCGCAAATTTTCTTCGCTTTTTCCTTTCATTTTCCATAGCAGAAGACTCAAAGGTAAGTCCCTAAATTGTTCTATGCGCTGAGATGAGTGCGAAGAGTGATAATGTCTGTGATATCTCAGGAAATAATGGCAGCGTTGCTGGACGGAGTATTTGAGGGTGAACTTCAGAAGAAAGTCGCCACTTCGCGGATCCTGGTTGTGGGGGCGGGCGGAGTGGGTTGTGAAGTGCTTAAAAATCTCGTGATGTGCGCCTTCCAGAACATTGAGATTGTAAGTACGCCTCTTCAAGATCTTGTGGGGATCGACTAAGTAAGAGTGAGGTTATGTATTTTCCGGCAGATTGATCTGGACACAATTGAGGTGAGCAACCTGAACCGGCAGTTCCTGTTCCATCGAGAGCATGTGGGGAAGTCGAAGGCGCAGGTGGCGAGAGAAAGTGCACTGGCATTCAATCCTGACACGAATATTGTGGCTCATCATGACAGTATTACTGAGTAAGGAATTATTGGAATTCTCCGATATCCATCTTCTAATTTGAGTCTCCTGTTGCAGCACAAAGTTCGGCGTGACTTACTTTCAGGGTTTTGATGTGGTGCTGAATGCCCTGGACAATCGTGTGGCGAGGAACCATGTGAATAGGATGTGCCTGACAGCAAAGGTTCCTCTTATCGAGACAGGCACTTCAGGGTACAATGGTCAGGTGGAGCTGATTCAGAAGGGTGTCACGCCATGCTACGAGTGCACACCGAAAGCAAAAGAGAAGACATTTCCGGGCTGCACGATTAGAAACACGCCCTCAGAGTTGATTCACTGCATCGTGTGGGCGAAGCATCTCTTCAATCAACTCTTCGGTGAAGACAATGCGGATGAGGATGTGTCGCCAGACACTGCGGATCCCGAGGCGGCTGGAGATGCGGGCCAGGAGGCACTGGAGACACAGAGCAATAATGTGGGCAACGTGGAGAGGCAGAGCACGCGTGCCTGGGCGCAGAGCATTGATTACGATAGCGAGAAGCTCTTCAACAAACTTTTCCATGACGATATCAAGTATCTCCTGAGCATGGCGAATCTCTGGAAGAAGCGCACACCACCGGAACCACTCAAATTCGGCGTGGGAACGGCCACGGGTTCTCAGACTGAGGATTATGAGGGAATGGCGCGCGATCAGAAGGTGTGGAATCTGGAGAAGAGCACTCAGGTGTTCAGTGAGAGTGTCTCGGCACTCAGGAGTGCCCTCAAGGCTCTTCCTAGCGGTGACACTCTCGTCTGGGACAAGGATGATGCAGATGCAATGGATTTTGTTACTTCATGCGCCTGCATTAGGGCCACAATCTTCCACATCGCCACGAAGAATCGATTCGAAGTGAAGAGCATGGCGGGTAATATTATCCCCGCAATCGCTACGACGAACGCAATTGCGGCTGGAATGGCAGTACTGCATCTGCTGAAAGTCCTCAAGGGTCAAATTGAGTCCTGTCAGTCCGTGTACATGCGACTCCGACCGAATCCGCAGAACCAGATCATCGTCCGAGAGAAATGTAAGTATTTCCTTGTAGTTTGTTTGAAATTGTAATATTAATGCTTCATCAATTTGCAGTTCTGGCCAAGCCGAATCCCGAGTGCGCCGTGTGTTCCGTGAAGCCACAGATTGTGGTGCGCGTGAATGTGACTGCGATGCTTGTGGGCGATTTCCGAAAGAGCGTTCTTCTGGAGAAACTGGGCACGAAGACGCCTGACGTGATTCTGGATGGCAAGGGCGCTATCGTGATTAGTTCAGAGGAGGGCGAAGAGGATCTCAATGATGCGAAATTGCTGCAAGAGATGGGAATTGTGGATGGGTGCATCCTGAAGGTGGACGATTTTCAGGATAACAATCAAATCACTCTGGTGATAGTCAACGATGAGAAGCAAGATGCCAAGTCTTTCGAAGTCACCATTGACGCTGGAGCGGAAAAGAAAATACCTGAAGAGGAGGAGGAGAAGGAGATTTCTCGAGAGGAACCAGAGGAGGAGGAGCCGGCGGCCAAGAAGCCCAGGATGGAGGACAGTGAGCCGGGCAGCAGCAAACAACCAGTGGAAGACGACGACAGTGATCTGGAGATTATAGAGTCAGATGATGAAGTTCCAGCCCCGACCACCAGTACCGCCGGGACAAAAAGAAAGTCTGGTCTGGAGAAAGAGGAGGAGCCGACGGAGAAGAAGCAGAGAGTAATTGAGACCTTCTCAGTCGATGATGATGATGACGATGTGGTCTGGGTGGATTAGAAGCGATGCAGTCTTGCTATTTATCTTCAATGTCATACATTCAACTATATTTTCAATTATATTTCAATAAAATGATGAGAAGAGAAAAAAATCTGGGAATTTGAACATGTGGAGCCCGCGAAACTTAACCTTACTTTTCTGTTTGTATACAAGATTAATCGGTGAGCTTGATCGTGGGTGTTTTTCTTGAAAATTCGAGTAAAATCGGTGAAAATGCCTGTGGATTATCGCAGAAACAATGGACCAGAGTCCTCGGTATCTTACCATCTCAACACCAGCACGTATTTGCAATCTTATGAGGAGAAATTGAAGATAGTGCTTCAAGAGGATTCGCGGAAGGATGGAAGGAAACTGACGGATTCCCGAAAGATCTGTAAGAATTTCACGCGTCCCTACAAGTATTGTTCTGATCAATTGTCTCTCTTGTAGTCATCAAAAGTGGCATTGTAGGGAAGGCGAAAGGAGCAGCATATATAGAATTGGGAGCAACAAAAGTTATCGTGTCAGTCTTTGATCCTAGAGAGATTCCCAAGCAGAGCAAGTACTCCATTCATGGCGAGCTCTTTTGTGACTTCAAGTATTCCCCTTTCGCTTGTCTCCACCGGAAGTCTCAGCAGACAGACAATGAAGAGAAGAGTCTCGCCCAGGCACTGAAGAGAGCTTTGGAGCCGGCAATTTGTCGTCATGAATTCCCGAATTTTCAAGTGGACATCTTCGCTAATGTGTTGGAGGATGACGGATCAGCCCTGGCAGCTGCTATCACAGCTTCCGGCCTGGCTGTAGCGGATGCAGGAATTCCCATGTTTGACATTCTGACGGCAACGAACGCTGGAATCATAGGAAATCAGATTCTTCTGGATCCCACGCGTCAAGAGGAGGAACTCTGTCTGTCTACATGCAGTCCGAATGATCATGGCATCATTACAGTGGCCAGGATGTCTACACATGAGCAAATTTCCGAGATTTGGCAATCCGGATGCATTCAAATGAAAACTCTTCAGGAAGCCATTGATTGCCTTGTGGAGGCCAATAGAAGTGTCGCTCCCATCATTCAACAAACCCTCATTGAGCGTGTTACAAAGTTTATTGAAAAAAAGCCTGATTCTTCTTAATCCTCATGTTTGTCTGGCTCTGGAACAGCGCCGCATGGTTGCAGCATCCTCTCCATAAGATTAAATCTCACTCGGGCCTTGGACTCATTCTCCGCGATGGCAAAGTAGCTCAGCAGATCGTAGTGACCCATATAGCTGGCCAGAGAATCTCCTGGAAGACAGAAAGTCCATGAAATCAACAGGATTTGAGGTTTGGTTGAAAAACTCTACTTACGGTGTTGATTCGTGAGCCACTCATATTTTGTGGTGTCACTGTGACCCGTGCCGATGTACTTGCTCTGCAGATGCTCAAGTTGACTGTGGATGTTGTATCTATCTCCCATTTTTGGTCAGATTCCAAAGATTCACGGAAAACGTCCTCTTGTTTACTAACAAGCGAGTTTCTCAAAAATCCCGGTAGGGTCGCTACAACCGATTTCTCGCGGATAAATGGTTATGTTGACGGAAGAAATGTGATTTTTCTGGGCAGGACAACATACTAAAAATGTATAATTTAGCCAGTGTCTCATCTTGTTCTGCAAGAATCTTGTCCAGTGCATTATCGAGATTCACCATAGGTGTGAACCGAAGAGCATGTAGTCTTCAGAATGTCGCTGATGATCCGGAGACAGAGCGTATGCTGAAAGTGTTGCGGCTGGAGGTGGATGTTTTCCGGCAAGAGGGGCGGAAGGCACCTGACCCAGAACTATTAAAGGAGGAACACTGGAATCACTTGTTGACGCTGAAGACCAAGAATTCAAGGCAAAAGTACTACGCATATCTTTGGCAAATTCAGATGAAGAGAGAGTCCGCCAAGAAGAAGCATGAAACTGCGAAGGCAGAAACGCTCGTCCGGCGTGCTGAAAAGCTGGAGATTGCCAAGACGGAGGAGCACATTGTTTATGGTCTAAACTGGACCACTATGTTCCTCAGGATTTACGACAGTACGATAAATTTATGGCTGAACAATCGACTTACCAGAGCGATGCAATTCGCGCCCAAAGTGGTGATTGATTGCTCTTATGAGGAGTATATGAGCAGATCAGAGGCATCCAACTGTGGCAAGCAGTTAATGTTGGCTTTTGCGGAAAACAGATTGGCTACGGAACCTTTTGATCTGCACTTTTGCAGCGTTGACTTGAATGCCGTTGGAGGAAATACGTTGAAGAAATTCATCCCAACACTCTTGGATCCAGACTTCCCCATCAATGTGCACACGGAGAGTCACCTAGACTTGTTTCCGAAAGAGAGACTGGTGTACTTGACGCCTCACTGTCGCCAGGAATTGACTGCCTACAATCCAGATGACATTTACATCATCGGCGCCATGGTAGACAAGAAAAATACTGATCCTTTATCCCTAGCCAAGGCAAAGCGTCAGGGATTGCGAATGGCCAAGTTACCACTTGATCGATATCTTCAGTGGACCGCAGGCAGTGGCAAATCCCTGACCATCAACCAGATGATCAGCATTTTGCTCATCCAGAAAGAGACTTCGAACTGGCAAAAGTCCCTCGAAGTAGTTCCACGTCGAAAACTAACAGTGTATCCAGAGAAAAAACGCGATTGGCTGGAAAATCGGATGGAAACGTTCAAATACAGGCCTAGATATTGAACAGATTCCACTTTATTGCCCTCAATTTCTCCTGCGACGCACACGAGAGATCCTCCAGGCATTGGGCTCTTCGTATTTGTTGTACAGCGGCTCCAGACGCTGATTCTTCTTGAATTTGCTGAGTTTCGTGGGATCTGAGAAGCGGAAGAAGGACGAGGCGAATTCCACCAACCACTTGGGATCGATGGTCGTCACCTCTCGCATGTACTCCTTGGTCGTCTGGACGAGTTCATGGTAAACCACCCTGGAATGATGAGGAATGTTAAGATTTGAGGGTATTTGGACATAAATAAAGAGTAGTTCTTTGCCTTATAAACTCACCATTCTGGTTGTCTGTTGAAAAGCGCGCTGGAGGGATGAATGTAGACCACTTGGGAGTCCACGAGAGTTCTGTAGCCCTCTTGAGGGTCTTTCTTGGCGGCATTCCTGAAGAATCCCGAGCAGATGGCCTTCTGCACGCGCACCGTATTCTTCCCCGCTGATACCACATCCAGCTTATGTCTGTCCATGATGCCCAGCAACTGCTTCCGCACATCCTGAGCGCGCTTCAGTGTACGGATTTGCACAAAGTTCTCATAACACCAGGCATTGGAGAACTTGTTGTTCTTCCAGCTGTTGTACACGGCCAGCAAAGTGAGATGATCACCTTCGGCCTGGTTGAACTTGGCCTTCTTCTGATCCGCCAGGGATTGCTTGTCTTTCGGCCGATAGAAGACATTCTGCACACTCAACATGGAAACGATGGTGAGCACTTCGTCTGAGCAATTGAGCGCCACACTCATGATCAGCATCTTAGACAGATTGGGCTCCAGCGGAAACTCTGCCATGCGACGTCCCAATCTGGTCAGAAGACCCTCATCGTCAAGCGCTGAGAGTGAGTGAAGTTGTTCCAGTGCCATCACGAGTGATTCCACCGGCGGAGCGTCCATGAAGTCAAAGTGAAGGAGATCATTAATGCCCATCGTCTTCAGCTGAAGAACAGTGGTGGCGAGATTAGTTCTCTGAATCTCAGGCACTGGCGTGGGCAGCATTTCATCTCTGTAAGCTCTCTCTGTATACAATCTGTAGCACTTTCCCGGCCCAGTTCTTCCAGCTCGTCCTGCTCTCTGCTTCGCCGCAGCTTGGGAAATCGGCATCACAACAAGAGAATCCATGCCAGTCTTGGAATTGTACACCTTCTGCTTCACAAAGCCCGGATCCACTACATAATAAATCCCATCTATCGTCAGCGATGTCTCAGCTATGTTAGTGGCTATGACCACCTTTCGACTGCCCGCCGGCGCTGGCTCGAAGATCCTCGTTTGCATCTCGGACGGCAGGGCAGAGTAAACAGGCAGAATAATGAGCTCTGGCACATCTGGCCCCAGACTCTTCATCCTCTCATACAGAATCTCACACGCAGTGTCGATTTCCTCCTGGCCAGTAAGGAAGAGAAGGATGTCTCCTGGAGGCTCTCTCAAGTGGATTTGCATCACTGTTATCAGTGACGCGTCCAAATAGTCCGTCTCAGGTTCTTTCGTGTACAGAACTTCCACGGCAAATGTTCTGCCGGGAATTGTGAAGATTGGCGCTTCGAAGAAGTACTGAGAGAACTTCACAGCATCCAAAGTGGCTGAAGTCACGATCAGCTTCAATTCGGGACGCTTCTGAACGGCCTGAAAGACGAAAAAGGATGTTAGCATTGAAATATTTGGAATTTTGATGATGAAATTGGGAAAACTTACTTGCTTCAGCAGTCCAAAGAGAACATCCGTGTGGATTGTCCTCTCGTGAGCCTCATCCAACATAATGACGGAGTAGGATTTCAAGTCCAGGTCCATCAGACACTCTCTCAGCAGCATACCATCCGTCATGTACTTGATGATGGTCTCTGGACTTGTGCAGTCTTCGAAACGAATTGTGTATCCCACTTCCTGGCCCATGCGACACCCAAACTCCTCAGCCACTCGCTTCGCCACGGACATGGCAGCCACTCTCCTGGGCTGCGTGCAGCCGATCTTCCCGCGGGCTGTGAAGCCACTCTCGGACAGATACTGTGTGATTTGCGTGGTCTTGCCACTGCCCGTTTCACCAATCACTATGAGTATCTGATTGTCGTTGACGGCCTTGATCAAGTCTTCTCTCAACTTGAAGATGGGAAGACTCTGGCGCTGTTCTATCAGACTCATGTCGGTCTTCTTGCCGAAAGAGGATTTCTTCCCACCAATTACGTGCTTCTTCCACTCCGGCACCTCTTGGGACGTCATCCCAATGCCACGAACATTCGCCGCCAGTGCCCTGCTGTCCTCATCAGGCAACGGATCGATCCAGTTCTTGTTCAGACTCGCTGGAATAGAATCCATCTCCGCTTCTCGTTGTAGCATCTTCTGCTCGCGTCGCTCTTTGGCCAGTGCCGACTGCATCATCGCCGCCTGGGCAAGCGATCCATCAGGGTTCTTCACTATCCGCACCGGTGATAGATCGTGCAACGCTCGTCCGTGGCCCACAAGGAAGGGAGGCTCTTCCTCAACAATCTCAATCTCAATGTCTGCCTCATCATTCTCCTCCTTCGGCAGCAGGCCAGTCTCCTCGTCAAAGTCTGGCAACTCGCTTCGATCAATCACTCCCGATGAGATCATCTGCTTAATCTCCCACCGCTCAGGACTCGAGATCCTAGTCACTTTCTTCCTAGCCACATCTTGCTCGTCGTTGTCTAGATTCCCCTGCAAATGCAGCATCGATGTTCCCCCAATTGGTCTGTCCGGATTCCTATTCCTCAGATCGTTCTCTGCAAGAAGGTGAGCGTGGGACGAGGGATTCAGATCCCGGCCAGAGTCCTGATCCACGTCCCGCATCGACAAGGACACCTTCTGTCCAGTCACAGACACCACTTTCACCTTCACATTGGATCCTCGAGAGACAACATCGGACACATTGGTCACACGTCCCTCAGAACGCAATTGAGAGATGTGCACAAGTCCTTCCCAGCGCTTCCGCAGTCCCATGATCTGCACAAACGCGCCGAATTGTACAATATTCGCCACTCGTCCAGAGTAGATTTTCCCAGGCTCTGGATCGTCTGGCAGTGGAGAATGATTTCTCCTTTCCCTAGAATGACTCCTGTTCCTTCGTCGATCTCTCGAGCGACTTCTCCTCCTGTGTCTATCTCTTGACCGACTTCTACTCCTCCTGTCTCTGCTTCTACTCCGCCTGTCGCGATGCCTCGACCGCGAACGGTCCCTACGACTCCTCCTGTCATCCCTGTGCCTCTCCTTAGACCTCGATCTACTCCTTCGGCGCTTCCTGTCCTCGTCTTTCTTGCTCTTCGAAGGAGCAGCAGCTTCTAGAGCTGAAAACATGTCATCCACCTCTTCCATATGCTTCTCCTTCACTTTCTTCTCTTTCTTCTCCTCCTCCGCCTCCATCAGCATCTCCTTCTGATCCTTGTTGGGTATCGCCAGTCCGGGAAACTTTGTAGACAGCGTGTTTTTCTCCTCCTTCTCGAACTCAGACACCTTCGAACCTCCAGCGGCTGGTTTCATTAGTTGAATGATGCGGAGGAGATTGGAGATGAAGGAGTCGCTGAATTCAGCCCCATTCTCCAGCAGGACTGCCTTGAATCTAGGAAATGTGGGATTTTTCTCGGCCAAGTCAATGATGAACTCTGCCAAGTCCTTATCATTCAATCCCAAATGATTATCCAATTCCGTGCAGATCTTCGAGACCAGGGAGAGATGCTCCAACTTTCCCAACTCCTCCATGGTGAAAGAAGTTGCGAGAAAATGCGGAAAATAGGTTTTCTTTGCAAATGCTGAAAAAAGCCACTACAAACGTCACTGAACTAAACAACACTGAAATGTTGTAATTTTCCGCTAGGGGCGTTGCTGTGCTTTGTTTTGGTTTTCTCCCGGAGCTCAGCTCCGTGCGTATTTTGAAAAATGTACAAATTCGGTGAGAAAATTTATTAATTGCAAAATTAAATTAAGTAGATCTGTAGAAGAGGATTTAAACTAAGAATAGCTATAAATATATCTATTATTTCTGCAGAAGCTGAAGAGGAATTCTCATCAGAAGTGAGCCTTGAAGATTGTGCTGTTCAGGAATGTGGGGAAAGCAAAGTAAATATGTATTTTTATCAATAATTCCTGATTTTATTCCTTGTCTTTGTCTTTTTCAGAATTCTTCAGCATCGGAATTTGTTCAAGGCACCTCTTCATTAGTATCCAATGAGGACTCTGGAAGTTCTGGCATCAGCAACAACTACAAGAATGACGACTACGCTGCAACATTCTTCATTTTGGTGGAGAAGAGAGTGGGCCAAATTCCAGAATACCTCAAGAATATGGTATTCATAAATGGATTTGCCGCTCCAAAACTATTTGAAAATCTCTCTGATTCAGATCTGGCATCGATGGAGAACTTTGTGAAGTCTGTGATGCCGAGAATTTGTCCTCTGACGCCAGAGTACTTCTCTGTTTTCTGTCAGAATGTGGAAGAGTTCAAGATTACACAGGGACACAGGAATCTTCTGTTGAGCGCCGTGGAGAAAGTGAAGTGTGAATCTGATGCGCTTCATAAGGAACTCTTGAAAGAAATGCTGAAGAAGAGGCAGAAGACTGAAGCTCGCGAGTCTTGCAGGTTGAAGACCGCGACAGGAAATGGTCAGGAGATGGAGATGGCGAGCAAGATAGAGAATAAAATTAGAATACTTACCAGGCAGTGGTGCGAGAAGGCAGATCTGGGAAATTTCGACAAGAAGCTAATTGATCCGAATAAGATCAGGGTAAAACTGGTGAATAGTGGCCAGGATCTGTTTGCAGAAGTTGTTTGTCCAATTTGTAGACACCATATCAAAATCGGTATCTGGACGAACAAGCAAAAGAAGAATCCGAGATTGATTCTGTCCAACTTCAATTCTCACATCCGAATGCACGCCAAGAAGGAGAACCAGAAGAGAGTCTCCAGCACAACAACAAACTCTACAGAGACTGCTGAAGATGAGAGTGTGAGTGATGAGCCATTGGCAAAGAGAACCAGGCGATCTAGCAATCGCCTTGAAGTCCCAAGATCTTCAGTGAGTAGCCAGCAAACCATGCAAGAAATGCCCAAGACTCTCAGTCAAGTGTACAATGGCGAACTCATCGAGTCCATCAGTGACTTCTGGATGAATCTTGAGATGGAGTTCAGCGATGGAGAGGAAATTGTGCCGCGCTACCTCCAAAACTTCCTTCATCTGATGGGATTCGGTACCAGAAAAGCGCTTTCGTTGCTTCGAGAGGACGATTTCGACATCCTCGAGCGATACGGGCGGCAGAAGATGAAGGTGTGGACAGACGAGTCGGAGAGTATTGAGTTCTTCCTGGGTCCCTTCGCCACAGTCACGGATGAATTTGAGATTGCGCTAGGACACAAGAGGCAACTCATAGAGCTGAAGGACAGTCTGGTCCGACAGATGGAGAGGAAGAAGTTTGTTAAGGATCCAATAGCTGAAAAGGAGGAATCGGGGGAATCGTCACATTTCACGCAGGTTCTGCTGAAGGAGTACAAATCTGAAGATATTGACAACTTCTACAACTACGAATAAGATCTTCTGGCTTCCATTAGCAAATGTCTTTACTGGGGCTTCTAGATTGCAATACTGCCTATGGACAACCATAAATTAGAGGGAATAATAAATAGCTCACACTTAAGTTCAATTTTGCAGTTCACTTCTTCTTCTTGTCCTTGACAGGAGCCGCTGGTTGGCCTGTTGCCTCTGCCAGTTTCTTCTTGAGCGCCAGGAGTCGCTCTACCTCCGGTTGCCAGATGGCTTTTTCAGCAGACGCCTTCAATTGTCTCACCTTCTCGCCCTGCTGCAGCACTGCCTTCTCCAGTTCCGCCACAGTCATGGTGGGCAGAGGCTCTTGACTCTTCGGCGCCTGGGCGTTTCCAGCCTGGGCGCCAGCGTACTTCTTCTTCAACTCCTCAATTCGCGCCGGTTCAATTTTTACAAACAGTGGCTCTGGCTTCCCAATCTTATGGCCAGGCTTCAGCCACATCTTCACCCTGGGATCCTGTGGATCAATCGCTCCACGTTCAATGTTTGTCTGCTTGAAGATCCTCCTCGCGGTCTCCGGCATGAAGGGGAACAGCAGAGTTGCCAGCAAAACTGTCAGGTTCGCACAGATGCCAATCACGGTTCCTGCTCTCGACTTCTGGTCATCAGTGCCCTTCAGCAGCACCCAAGGTTGCATCACCTGCAGAAATTGGTTACCGTGTCGCGAAATGGCCAGGATGTGCTTGATCCCATCTCGCATGCGCGCCTTCTCCAAGCATGCCACGTACTCGTGGTACTCTCTGTTCGCTTGAGCCAGCAGGACCACGTCCTCCTCTTGAAGAGCCAGCTGCGGAATAACGCCACCGAAGTTCTTCTCGCAGAAAACAAGAGCGCGGTTAATGAAGTTGCCCAGATTGTTGAGTAGCTCAAAGTTGTTGCGCGCTTCCAAGTCATTCCAGCTAAAACTAGAGTCCTGACCCTCAGGTCTGGAATACGCCAGATAGAAGCGCCACACATCAGCCGGAATACCAGTTTCCTGGAACGGAAAAGGTAGATAAATTCATTGAGAAGATCGAAGGATTTACATGTGAGAAAGCGCTTACTTGAGCATCATTGCCAAACACTCCAATTCCTCTGCTCTTGCTGAACTTCCCGTCTTCGTAGTTGAGATACTCCGTCGCCATGATGTGACTCACGAGGGTGTAGCCCTTGTTGATGGCCAGCAGCGTGGCCGGGAACATGACAGAGTGGAAGGGCACATTGTCTTTGGCCATGAATTGGTACAGGGACACCTTGGCCTCCTTGGGCTGCCACCACTGGCGCCACTCCTTCGTGTACTTGCTCGTGATGGACATGTAACCGATGGGCGCATCGAACCACACGTAGAATACCTTGTTCTCGAAGCCAGGCTTTGGCACTGGAATACCCCATTTGAGGTCCCTCGTGATGCACCTTGGCCGCAGGCCTTCTCTCAGCCATGATTTCGTTATCACGCGAGCGTTGTGCGTCCACCCGTCTTCCACAGTGGCCACCCATTCCTTCAGCTTCGGCTCCACCTTGGGCAAATTGATGAAGAACTGGCTGGAGTCTCGAACCACGGGCGTGGTGTTGCACAGTTTGCAGCGGGGCTTGATCAGCTCACTGGCATTCACCAACTTTCCGCAGCTGTCGCACTGATCACCCCTGGCATCCTCATAACCACATCCCGGATGTGGACAGACGCCCTCCACGAATCTGTCGGCCAGATATCGCTGACACTTCTGACACAGCAATTGCGCCACGGTCTCAGTGTTCACGAATCCCGCATTGAAGAGCTCGTGGAACATTTCCTGCACAATCTGTGTCTGCTCAGGTGTTGTGGTTCGGCCAAAGTAGTCAAATCCGATGCCAAACCATCGATAAATTGAATTGTGAATCTCGAAGAATTTGTCACAGATCTGCTGAGGAGTCATTTTCTCCGCAATGGCTTTCGTCTCCGTCGCCGTGCCGTATTCATCTGTGCCGCAGATGAAGAGCGTGTTGTAGCCACAGAGACGGGAATAGCGGGCAAAGATATCAGCCGAGAGGACGCATCTGAAAGCAGAGATTAATAACAAATTAGCCTATGCATTTCCGCATACGTATTATCAGAGTGACACGACTTTTTCATGCCCTGCCTGCCTTTCACATTTTCCACGACGGAAAAGCCAACGTGGCTTATCAATTAGATTTCAAGGAACCGTCTTATCACTCACCCAATGATATTTCCGAGATGAGGAACGTTGTTCACATAGGGCAGCGCCGAAGTGATGAGAATATTTCGCTCTCCTGTTTTCGGCAAAACCGTTCGAGCCTCCTTGGGTTGAGGAATGTCTTGGAAGATGAATGCCTGGCGGGCTGATGCAATCTCCGCAGCAGAAATTGCCTCCGCGGTGGGTGACTCATCGGCTGGGGACGCTGGAGTGGGTCCCACACCAACAGAGCCGAGTTTACTGGCGCTCTGCAGGGATGAGAAGGTGAGATCCTTGAAGTCAGACAGAACTTCCTGAGCCTCAGCGCGGCCAGAGAAGTTTTTATGCCACTTAACGAGATTCTCAGCATTGGAGATCTCCTTGAGAGCTCCCTCGACAGCGAGAAGGCTCCATAAGAGAAAATCGGGCCCTGTGGGGGCGCTTCCAGAGAGAAATTCACTCTCCTTCAGGAGATCATCGAGTTTCTTCACAAATCCCGTCATTTTAGTGGCTAGAGAGGCATCACGGCGATTCCCTGAAGTCACCAGATGACTCAGCAAAGGTGCGAAGTGTGTCAGGATCCACTCGGAAAGTTCATCCGTCTTCAAGGAGTGCTCCACAGAGTCTCCCAGAAGATATCGCAGTCCCGCTTCTTTTCCAAAGAGTTCCTGACCACTCTCTAATCGGACTACAGGTAAATGTCTCGGGGGCTTCACGTGGGAACCTAAGAAAAGCGCGAAAAGCCAGTTGTTGGTTTTGTTGGAAAAAGAAGCAGACCAAATCGGCTTGTAAGGTTACGATCAAAATCTCACCGTTTATATCCACTTTCTCCAATTTCACCGGTTTCTTAGCAAACTTCCCAGCTAGGAGAAATGCTAAACCAAAAGGATTTCCTGAATTCGTAATTATTGACATCGTGGATTGCACTTTTCACGCCTTTTTGTCGGAAGGAATACACGTTCCCGGATTCTCAATTACTTGAAAGAATTTCTGGCAGAGGAGCTGCATGTCTCTTCTTGGAAAGATGATAGAGGTTAGGTTGATTTCCAGGCGCACTTTCCAGGCATGAGAAATTCGGAAATCCCAGGACATTGGAACTTCCTTTGAGACTCATCCAGAGATGTTAGTCGAGAAGTGAGAAGCTGTGGATAGAAAGTGGATCAATCTTTAGACACATTTTCGAGGAAACATGTCTGATGATAGTCCAGACGACTCCAAAATTGGGATTTTTGAGGAAGTTCACCAACTGAGGAAAGACAATCAAGTCTTGAAGGCATATTGCAGCAAATATCAAGGAGACATAACTAAATTGCAAGCGAAAGTAAACAAATTGGAGCTTGAGAGGATGTCCAATTTCAACTACATTGTTCGGAATATTCTTCAGCAGAGCGAAATGAGTCTTCAGATGATGAAGCAAATTCAAGAAATAGGTTCAGGTAAAAATTGTTAATTGGTTCATTCGTCTCTTCTAAATTGAGAGACTAATTACTTTTATTAGAGGTTTTGCAGAACAAGATCATGAGAACTGTGAAAGCTCACCAAAAACGACTCCGGTCAGAGGAAAACCTCAACAGCGCGTCCGAAGGGCTATCCTCCGAGAGGAAACCAACACAGTGGACGTAACGACAAACACCCAAAAATCTCCGGACATAATGAAAAGTGGACGACCACGGAGGCAGGCAGCCCCCAAGAACCTTCGAGAGCCAAATTTAGTGCAAAAGTTCCGGAGACCATAACGGATGCGGCTATTCAATTGAGCGGCTGCGTATCTATCACTGGAAATGTCAGATTTGATCTCGATTTGATGCCGTTCCAACGCTAACAGTAGTTTTGCGTCGTCTTTCTGTATTTTCACATATTTCTCCCTTATTTTCGGTGATTTTGTAAGTATTTTTATGTAAATATAATCTTTCTCAGTTACTCTTTGGTTCATTGTTGGAGGAAATTCTGAAGTGCGCTAATATCGGGTAAAATTTGATTGATGATTTTCAGGCAAGCCAAGAGAAGGACAATAGACTTGTGCCTTTGATGAAAAAGATGTCCCAATTTACCTATATAAACGATATCAATTACGCTCTTGGTGGAATGGATAGTGATTTGACACGCGGTCCAATGCCGCGGTGGCAGAAGAAGCTGGAAACATCCACTTCCTCAGCCCACAACTCATCAGTTAATAACTCCAAGCTGTCGGTGTCATATAATAATGCGTGCGTCGGGAACGGAGCCTCCGGATCTCATAAGACCCCCAACAAGGGGTCAGGTAAGAAAACGCCCTCCGGCAAGACGCCTGGGAAGAAGACACCGGGCTCTAAAGAGCGCGCTAAGACACCAACTGGTGGCGATCGCTTTATTCCCAATCGGGCGGCTTCGAACTTCGAGCTGGGGCACTATTTAATCAACAGGGAGCAACAGCGCGAGGAAGAAGAGTCTGCGGAGGGCAGCAAGGCGACAGGAGAGCAGAGGAAGCTGCTGACGGAGACCGTCAAGGGCAATGCGGATCAGAGAATCCTGAGTTATCAGGTGAAGGCGCCATCGGCGCCGGACAGTCATCAGAACCCCCTGAAGGTGGTGTACTCCACAAAGACGCCCGTATCCACCAAGAGCGGCTCGCGATACATTCCTCATGCGCCAGAAAGAATCCTGGATGCGCCAGACATCATCAATGACTACTGTGAGTATTGACATCTCTCTTTATTTCTTGCCCTTTTGCTCCTTGTTCTTCGACGGACTGCGCTTCCGCGATCCCTTCTTCCTCTTCGCCGTGGCCTTTCTCTTAGCTTTAGGTGTGGTGAGACTGGCGAAGATTCTGTCTGCATTTCCTGACTTCTTCGGCGGTTCGACTGGTCGCGGCAATGCACTGGCCGGCGTTCGAGTGTAGAAATCGTAGTTGAAATCGGCACAACCGCGTCCATTGCAGAACTCCTCCAGGCAATCGGCGCAGGAGAAAATCCTGGTCTCCACGACACCATTGCGGTTCTTCGTGCGCCTCTGCGAGGCTGCTAAGACGTTGTCCCTCTTATCTCTGCCTTCCGTGCGGAGCTGTAGCTTGCCGAGTTCCACCAGGCGACTGAAGAAGTCCTCCTCAACCTTCGTGCGCGGCCGGAATGTGGTTAACATTTTCCAGTCAATTGACACGGGACAGAGCTCAGCGATGGTAACACCGCGCATCTCAGCTGGGATGGGATCGAGATACTGATGAGGAACGTCTCGAACGCCGCCGGAGCGAAGAAGCACGGCCAACTCCTTGCGAGGCATCTTGAATGACCAGTCTTTGTCTTTGATCTTGATCTCATCGGAACGCACCTTGATGGGGCGCATCTTGTAGTCGGGCACTTTCTCCAGCAGTCTCTTGAAGTCATCCCGCGACGTGACGATCTGCTTGGAGAGATCAAGGACTGGCACCACGTCCCTCTTTTTGCCGAACAAATCATCCAGGCGACTCATCCTCAGGAAAGACCACTAATTTTGAATTTTCTCGGCTTATTGATTTAACATTATACGAAGAATCCTCATGGAAACTCCTTTGCCCTGGTCATTGATCTTTGACCTTATTAGGATAGATATGATTTTGAATATATTCTGTCCTCCTGCAGATCTTAACCTGATGGATTGGAGTCAGAGCAACGTGGTGACCATCGCCCTGGGCAACTGCATTTACTTGTGGAACGCCAGCAATGGCAAGACGGATCAACTGCTGGAGTACGACGAAGGCGAGCACGCATGTTCGCTGGCATGGATCCAGGCGGGAAATATCCTGGCGGTGGGCAACAACTCGGGCATCGTGGAGCTGTGGGATTGCGCCGTGAAGAAGCGCCTCCGCGTGATGGACGGTCACAATAACCGCGTCGGCGTGCTGGCGTGGAATTCTTACATCGTCTCCTCGGGCAGCCGTGATGGCAGTATTGTCAATCACGATGTCCGCACGCGCCAGCATTGCGTGAACAGACTTGCGGGACATACCCAGGAAGTGTGTGGGTTGCGCTGGTCACCCGATGGACGACACCTGGCCAGCGGAGGGAACGATAATCTGGTGAATGTGTGGCCAGCGGCGTCGGGAGGAAGTCACTCGCGTGACCAGGCGCTGCACACTTTCAGTGACCACCAGGCAGCCGTGAGGGCGCTCGCCTGGTGTCCGTGGAGTCCCAATGTGCTCGCCACGGGCGGAGGAACGGCTGACAGGTGCATAAAGTTCTGGAACGTGAACAATGGCAATCTGATGGATTCTATTGACTCCAAATCCCAAGTTTGTGCGCTTCTCTTCTCCAAGACTTACAAGGAACTCATCTCGGCTCACGGATATGTGAACAATCAGCTCACCATTTGGAAATACCCGTCGATGGTGCGCCAGGCTGAGCTCACCGGCCACACTGCCCGCGTGCTGCAAATGGCCATGTCACCTGACGGAAGCACCGTGATCAGCGCCAGCGCCGATGAGACTCTGCGGCTCTGGAATTGCTTCGCTCCGGATCCCAATCAGGCCAAGAAGGACAAGACCACGACCACCGTGCGCTCTCAGAGCGTCTTCCGCACCTGCATTCGATAGTGTGTTCCCTTCAACTTCGACTTTGATTGTGTAAATCCTAGTTCTGACAATTTTTGCAAAGGATTAAATTGCATTTTGTAGTGGGAAAATGCCAAAATTCCCATGTTTTTGATATTTTTTTTGAAAAAGACTTGAGAGAGAATAAAGATTTGCTTCATTAACATTAAAATTTGAAATTCTTCTTATTCACAATCAATTCATTTTGAATACAAATGAAAACCTTAAAAAGTGTATTTTACAATTTAGAAAAAAATACCTCACTCTTGGCCAGATTCCTGGACAACTGTTGCGTCTTCCTTGGACTTGGTCATGTAGTCGTGAAGGTACGCGTTCAGAAATGTCCTCACGCTTTTCACAAAGTGCTGGTGAAAGTCCCTGAGATTGTTTCTCACCATCATCCTGTCAATACAGCACACCTGCAGGTACTCGTACATGTTGTTCGTGTTGAGGACGAGGCTGAATTTCAGCGGATCCGGTCCCTGAATGGCCTCCTGGAGGCGTTTTGTCTCCGAAATCTCAGCCTCTCTGGCAGTGTTGGCCCCTGGTGTCTTTCTGTTGCTCCACACATTCACTTCCGTGCTGGCGAGGAAGACTTTCGGGTAATCCGATGAGGTACTGTTGCTGTTTCCCGGCTGTGAGTCCAATGTCAACTGCATCACGTAGATTTCCTTGAAAATGGACACGATAAATCTCCCCATTATGTCCACCCAAAACTTGTTGATCTCCTTTATCGCCTCCAAGGAGTTTATGTTGTTGCGCTGCACGAGTTCCTTCAGCAGCTTCAACTCCGCCTTCGACGGCATGAGTGTGAGATTGAGGAGATTCTTTGAGCGCACGCCAGGAATGGAGAGAAACGCATTGTGACTCCCCTTCTGAGTGTTCTTCTTCATAGGCACTGCTAAGAATTTCTCGAAGAAGAGACTCATCAGCGTCTGAGACAAGTTCTCGTTGTTGAGATTGCCTTGTTCAAAGATCCTGGCCGCAGCAGTGGCAGCAGTGATGAAGTACTTCAGGTGCTTTTCTCCACAACATCCTCCAATATTCATCTTCAGCTCGAACGGATCCTGCACACACAGAGGCTTGAGATTCTGCAGTGTGTCCTCGGGATTCTCCAGAACGTAAGCCCTGTACAGCTCGAAACCTTCTGGCGGTTCAACAGCTGCTGAAAAGTCCTCCTTCTTGTACGCCTTGCCAAACAGTGGGCACATCATAAGGTTCACGTAGTCAAAATTGGCGACAAAGGTGAAAAACTCACCCAAAAGCTTGCTCAGACACATCATGTTCCCTGAAGAATACTTTAGCGACCGGTCAAAGGCCGCGTTCCATCCGCCGATTCCCATCACGGGCACATGGCGCTGGAACACCTCCACTGGAGGAAGAAGAGGCGCTTTGGGCAGCGACTGCAGGAAGAATATCACCATCATGACGAGACAGTAGTTTGTGATCCTCCCGGTGCCGCTCAATTTATGCAGGGTCGCCCAGAACTTCACCACCATCATCAAAGGGTAGATTCGGTAGTCCAGCTGGATTAGGTGCTGGATGAAGGCGCTGCTGTGGATGCCCATCGAATTCGTGAAGTTCACATCACAATAGACATTGAGGTCAGAATGTAGGAACTTGAGCAGAGGCACGCGAGCACGTGGAATCCTTATAACTTTGGTGAACATGCGACTCCTCCACAGATTCCTCTCCACGTTTCGCAACACCTGATCGATTTCCTGGAGTATTGGATCTGGGAGGCACACGTAGAAGTCCAGATCACTGTCTGCAATGGGAACACACACAGTCAAATATGCTATCAATCTCGCAAGATGTGCTAAACTCACCCTTCATCAGCAGTCCTGTCACCACGGATCCAAAGGGATAAATGTCGAAGAACATGAAAGACCTCGACAACACCGTCCTGATATCGTCCGTCACCCTCATGAGTATATCATGAGTCTCTTGCTGGCTCGGCTGGATGTACTTCATCAGGGCGATTATGCTATTGTCGTTCTCTGTGTTTTCCAGGATCTCCTTCAACTCTCTGTGGATCTTCTCTAGCTTCTCATTCTCCTGCTGCTTGCTCTTCTTTCCGTTTCCCTCTTGTGCCTTCGGGGACAGCTTCCGCTTCTCCACCGGTACATTGGCAGATCTCTTAGGCAGTGAAGCGCGCGGGGTTTGACCAAAACGCCTGGGCGCGTTGAATCTAGGATACTGATGCGCCATAGGCTGGAAAGGCTGCGACGCTCTTACATTTGACGGATGCCTAAAACCCACATAGAAAGTCAATTTCGCATGACACAACGAGAAAGAAACAATATGAGATTCGTGGGAAAGACTCACATTGTGGCCGCATGGTCAATAAAACCAAGAATTTCCAGGAATTTGTAAAAATATTTTTGGGTGCTCACCAGCTGTCAAGATAATATATTCGTAGCTAACTTCATGATAAACTCCTCGATGACCAATCACAACCTCGAAAACTGCTAAAGATATTTACAAAGTTCTCCGCAATATCAGAAGAAAATACCTGCAAAATCCAATTATTTTGCATCCTCGGCTATTCTATTAATTGGTAATCGTAGTAAAATTGCATGACAATCGCTGGTTCTCTTAAGGGTGCGTAAAATTTTCAGCACAAAATCCGACAGTCAAACTGCAAAACACTGCCATCGGTTGGCAGCAGTGCGTGCCATGTCAGAAGTATAACCTGAAATTGGTGAAAATCGTGAAGAATCCATCTGTACAGAAATTTTGTATTTATTGAATAATTTATCCCATTTTCCAATTGTATTTCATTTATTTGGTAAGTGTCATAACGCCCACACACTTTGGCAGCCCAGCGAGTGGTCCAGGATTGTGCAAAGTGCTGCAAAACTGCTTGTTTTGGTCCCCCTTGTCAGTGACATTACATAAAGACGTCGCATATTTTCCTCTTTTCCACGCTATTTTCCACCTCTCGCTCGCAATATTGTTTACCGAGTGCGCCAGTGGCCGCGTTGGAGGACAAAAATAGAACAGATTTGCTTTGTCTCTGTGAAATGAGTCTGCAGATTTTGGACCACTTGACGGGATTTGGCTACTCATCGTCCGGACGTTCCCGGACTCTTGGCTAAGACTGTGATTTATTTTCTTGTGACTCTGTGGCACAGGTGGTGCGCGAAGGGGTGAATATCGGGAGAGAGCCAGCATTGGAAGACCGCAAGGATGTCATTGAAGCCGAAGCGAGTGGATTTCGACCAAACTTGGGAGGGCCTGAAGGAGACGGTGAAGGAAGTGGTGACACTGAGCAATGTAAAGCGTGATATTTGGAACAATCGCTTCGGGTGAGTGCATGAAATCATTCCAGGAGATCATTCGATCATTGTGAATTGTGATTGAGGAGGGCCTAAAAATAGCGTCAACGGATATTTTTAACCAAGAGTGAAAGTCTCATTTCTCACCATAAAAGACACATTCTTGTGATTTTTTTTGTCCATATAAATTGATAAACAGCGAAAATTGGTGATATAGCTGAGAAAATCAGCAATTTTGAGGTCGAGGACGTCGTCTGTTGATCGATTGGGGTTCTGTTGTGAGTGTAAAAAAAGAGAAAATGGCCTTGAAGTGGCAATGATTTTCTTGTTGAGCGGAAAAACACTGGATTTTTGTCAAGTATGAAGTACTTATTGGGCACTAATTGACTGATAAGGTGGGGGAAAGTGTAGAGAAAAAGTCTTCTTGGCGTCACTGTGTGATAAGGCAATTGTGTGTCTCTCCTTTGCAGAGATGTCTATTCAATATGTGTGGCATATCCGGAGCCGCTGGCGGACAGACTGTACTCGGAGACGAAGAATCTGCTGGAGAGCCACGTGGAGAGTATGCTGGCGACCAAAGTGGCGCCCGCCATCCACTCACAGAGCAGCGACGTGAGTGACACGCTCCTGTGGCGCTACTACGAGGCTTGGTCGGAGTACAGTCGTGGCATTGGCTACCTCAACTTCCTCTACATGTACTTAAACATGCAGCACATCAAGAAGAAGAAGCTGTCCGAGCCGGACACGCTGTACGCGAGTCCATCCAGTGACATTCAGGAGCAGATGGAGATTGGGGAATTGGGCCTGGACATCTGGCGGGTGAAGATGATTGAATCTCTGGGGGAGGAGCTGGTGAAGCAGGTGCTGGAGGGCATCAAGGCGGACAGGATGGGCACGGAGACGAACTCGAAGAATGTCGAAGTGATCCACGGGGTGATTCAGAGTTTTGTGCAAGTGCAAGACTATCGAAAGAAGGGGAACTTGAAGCTGTACCAGGAACTCTTCGAGAAGCCCATGTTGGCTACGAGTGGTGAGTACTATCGCACGGAGGCGGTGAAGATTCTGCAGAAGTGCTCTGTGAGCAAGTACATGGAGGAGGTAATCAGGAAGCTGGAGGATGAGAAAAGACGTGCCGAGAAGTTCCTGCATCACAGCTCCATTCCCAAGTTGCGGAAGGAGTGCCAAGAGAGGATGGTGACGGATCATCTGGACTTCCTCTATTCGGAATGCAAAGAAATGGTGGCTCAGGAGAGGCGAGAGGATCTGAAGAATATGTACATTCTGCTGAAACCAGTGCCAGATGGACTGAAGCAACTCATCCTCACCTTCCTGGATCACATCAAGAATGAGGGAAATGAAACCATTTCGACGCTCAAGGGTGACAATGTGAGTAAATGCTGGTCAAAGAATGCTTGAATTGTTTCTAAATGGGCTTCTCATTCTGCAGATACACATCCAGTTCGTGGAGAATATGCTGCAGGTGCACCACAAATACGAGGAGCTGATCAGTGACACTTTCAGTTACGGATTCTCAGTGGATCCACACTTTCTGAGCGCCCTGGACAAGGCGTGCGCCAGCGTCATCAACACTACCATCCGCATTGGGGAGAAACAGACGTGCCGGAGTGCCGAACTCGTGGCCAGGTACTGTGATAGTCTGCTGAAGAAGTCAAAGTCCACGGAGAGCGAGATCGACTCGAAGTTGACGAAGAGCATTACGATATTCAAGTACATTGAGGACAAGGATGTGTACCAGAAGTTCTACAGTCGGATGTTGGCCAAGAGGCTCATCCACGAACAATCGCTGAGCATGGATGCGGAAGAGGCTATGATCAATCGACTGAAGCAGGCGTGCGGCTATGAGTTCACGAATAAGCTGCACAGAATGTTCACGGATATCTCGGTGTCGGCGGACCTCAATAACAAGTTTAATGTGTACCTCAAGGAGAACAAGGAGGAGATCGGGATATCGTGCCAGATAAAGATTCTGCAGGCGGGCGCTTGGCCTCTGGGACCAACACAGGTGCGTTGTGAATTTGATGTTTCTCTTCCAAGACGATGACACACTGTTCTCCTCTTTCTATTTAGGTGGTCATCCCATTCGCCGTGCCGCAGGAGTTCGAGAAGTCCATCCGCATGTTCGAGGCCTTCTATCACACAAACTTCAATGGGCGGAAGCTGACGTGGCTCCACTACCTGTGTCAGGGTGAACTGAAGCTGGGCTACCTCAAGAAGTCCTACATTGTAACCATGCAGACTTACCAGATGGCCATTCTGCTGCTGTTCGAGTGTGTGGACCAGATGGCGTGCAAGGAGATTCAGGAGACGCTGCAACTCAATACGGACACCTTCCAGAAGCACATGCAGAGCCTGATCGAATCGAAGCTGTTGCTGGCCAGCAGCGAGGAGCTCAAGGATGACACAGAGATCAGACTAAATTTCGACTATAGCAACAAGAGAACCAAGTTCAAGATCACAGCGGCGCTGCAGCGAGAGACGCCGCAGGAGGTGGAGCACACGATGAACGCCGTAGATGAGGACAGGAAGCTCTATCTGCAGGCTGCCATTGTGAGGATCATGAAGTCACGCAAGATCCTGCGTCATAATGCACTTGTTCAGGAAGTGAGTGATTTCTTCCCAATGTCTCTATGTACTTAGACAAAATCGCTTTTTCTCTGCAGATCTACACTCAATCGCGGGTGAGTTTCGCGCCTAGCATGCTGATGATCAAGAAGTGCATAGAGTCACTGATTGAGAAGCAGTACATCGAGAGGACGCCCAATTCGACAGATGAGTACAGCTATGTGGCGTAAGGAGGATCTCTGTCACCCCAAAGTTGTGAGGGGGAAGTTCTTTTTATACTTGAAACGCAAGGAAAAGGTAAAATTACTACAGTTTATTTTGCAAAATAATCTCCTAAGAGAGCAGTTTAACTTAAAAGAGGAAAAAATCATTGATTTCTGTAAAGTGATAGACAGGATAAAAAAAAAATCGTGAAATCTCGCAAGCAGTGACTCAAGATCAGCGACTATTGTTTTTTGTTCTTTACGGTGAGGACTAGAATTGTCTTCACATGATGCGAATTAAATTGATTGCTGACTTTCCAGGTTGACTTTCACTGGCGACGCTTCGTGTAGATTTCGACCGCCAAAATGATCACGCTGGTCACGCTGGCGACAACGATGATCATAATGGGCGTGAACACGTGTTCCAGGTCGACGGGAATGACGGTAACGCGTGATACGCATTTGGGACGCGAGGCGAACCACTTTGAGTGTTCCTGCTGCACAACTCCGACCTCAGTGAGTCTTCGCGTGAGGACGTTGATGAGTTCGCGAAAAGGTGATGTTTTACGGACAAGGGCGCTTGTTGAGATTACCGGAAGAAATTTAACTTCTTGCAAATCGCATATTTCGTCCTCTGAGAAAGTCTGCACGATGCCTTCATAAGTACTTTCCACGTCGAAATGGAAGGCAAATCCACCTTTTTTTATCAACTGGATGCCTCTCCTCGGTGAGAAGAACTGTCCCGGTGTCTTTATTCGTTCTCTGTACAGTTTTCTGGTCAGTTGAGTGTAATTGAAGAGGTCTTCGTTGTACTCGATATCATTGGCGCCAAGCCTGAGTTTGCTGGCGGCTATATCTTCAACTGTTCGGATCGTCTTGGGCGCTTCCGTGATAAGACTAGCCACGATGAAAGTGGTGTAGAATTGATACGAGATGAAGGAGAAGATCAGAGCCAGAACTAAGAGAATCCGAGCAGAAGTCATGCGCAGATTCACAGAGAAGCTTTGCTGAAAGAATGTGCCAAAGATGCCCAAGAAAGCGACTCCGAGAGAGTCTCCAGAATAATTCAATTTCAGCGAGGCGATGAAAGCGCCCCAAAGAAGTGTCAGCATCGCTATGGTGCAGACCCAGAGGATGTCACTAAAGGGCTGCAAGACAAGATCTCGCACGGATGCGCTTCTGGGGTGGCGAAAAACGAAGCCAAATTGTGGCTGCCAAGTTATTGGCGTGGCATAAACATAAGGTATCCGATCGAGCGTGAGGGTCAGTGGAGTAATGCTGAGATCAGCTAAGGAGGTACTGAGCATTGCCATCGGTCCATCCCACGATTCATTGGCTTCTTTGTGGAATTTACTCCACGACGAAGTTCTTCGGACCACAAAAGTGGCGTTAGCTCGACGCATGATGTCTTGTAAAAGGGCGAATTGAAAGGCTGAGGAAGCTGTTGAGGAGTCCACTCGCGTTTGGAGCATCTCAAAAGCAGTTAGACCAAGACAGACGCGTTTAATCTGTAAATTAAAAGTTTAAATTTACAACAACAATTGTTTCAAGTAACTTTACCGAAACGGCGCCGTATATTTCAGCTCCTTTAAGATCAAGTCTTCTTCTGAGTTTTGTATTCTTCCTGAAGTCTTGAGACACGTTAAACAATTTTCCATCCCAGAAGCCAACAAGATTCACAGAAATTGGATACAAAGGATCGAATTTGACTCTATAGAGCTCAGAAACTCTCAGCAAGGATGGATTTTCTTCAAATTCACCGGACAAAAGAAAGACTTCAGAGTCCCATTGCATTTTCACGGTGGCCAAGAGATTCAGATTTTCCTCGAGAGTAGCTGAAGAGTACAAAATCCACACGAAAGTCTCATTGAATTTGTTCTTTTCAGACATTGCTTCGAGGAATTCAATGCTTTTCCCACAATTCATATCGACAATCACACCCAAACGAGAACAATCAAATCGAAGTGATTTTTCCGCCAGAGCAAAATTCGCAGCAACATTTAAATTGAACGCTGAAGTCAGCACAAACTCGTTTTGGAGAGATTTTGTAATCCTTAGACAATTTTCTTGGGCACAGCACAAAATCACACTGGATTTGAGATGAGTTAAAAGAACAATTTCTCGAAAGAGACCAAGAAGAAAGTCCAACTTGAGCAACATTTTCTGTTAAACTACTGATAAATTGAGGACAAAATCTATGAATTGATATTTTTTCTCAATTAAATCGTGACAGGTAATCAATATTTTATCCACGAGAAAATTGCTCAATTACAATGAATTTCTGCAAAGAAAAGGTTGAATCACGCAAAATCCTGTGACGCGATGCAATTGTTCAGGAAATGAGTGACAATTCTTTTTATACTTGAAACGCAAGGAAAAGGTAAAATTACTACAGTTTATTTTGCAAAATAATCTCCTAAGAGAGCAATTTAACTTTTTTTATTTTTAACACTACAGCCACGGACATTTTTGCCCATTACGGCCAAAGCAATTTAATTTAAAAAAGGAAAAAATCATTGATTTCTGTAAAGTGATAGACAGGATAAAAAATCGTGAAATCTCGCAAGCAGTGACTCAAGATCAGCGACTATTGTTTTTTGTTCTTTACGGTGAGGACTAGAATTGTCTTCACACGATGCGAATTAAATTGATTGCTGACTTTCCAGGTTGACTTTCACTGGCGACGCTTCGTGTAGATTTCAACCGCCAGAATGATCACGCTGGTCACGCTGGCGACAACGATGATCATAATGGGCGTGAACACGTGTTCCAGGTCGACGGGAATGACGGTGACGCGTGATACGCATTTGGGACGCGAGGCGAACCACTTTGAGTGTTCCTGCTGCACAACTCCGACCTCAGTGAGTCTTCGCGTGAGGACGTTGATGAGTTCGCGAAAGGGCGAAGTTTTGCGGACGACGGCGCTCGTTTTAACAACCGGGAGGAAAATTATCTCTTGCAAATCGCATATTTCGCCCTCTGAGAAAGTCTGCACGATGCCTTCATAAGTACTTTCCACGTCGAAATGGAAGGCAAATCCACCTTTTTTTATCAACTGGATGCCTTTCTCCGGTGTAAATAGGTTTCCGAGCCCCCTTATGCGTTCTTTATACAACTTTATGGTCAGTGGAGTGTAATTGAAAAAGCCTTCGTTGTATTCAAGATCATTGGCGCCAAGCCTGAGTTTGCTGGCGGCTATATCTTCAACTGTTCGGATCGTCTTGGGCGCTTCCGTGATAAGACTAGCCACGATGAAAGTGGTGTAGAATTGATACGAGATGAAGGAGAAGATCAGAGCCAGAACTAAGAGAATCCGAGCAGAAGTCATGCGCAGATTCATAGAGAAGCTTTGCTGAAAGAATGTGCCAAAGATGCCCAAGAAAGCGACTCCGAGAGAGTCTCCAGAATAATTCAATTTCAGCGAGGCGATGAAAGCGCCCCAAAGAAGTGTCAACATCGCTATGGTGCAGACCCACAGGATTTCACTGAAAGGCTGCAGAAAAACATCTCGCACGGACACGCTTCTGGGGTGGCGAAAGACGAAGCCGAAGTGTGCTTGCCAAGTATTTGGCGTGGCATAAACATAAGGTAGCCGATTTGGAGTTATGCTCATCGGACTGATGCTGAGATCAACCAAAGAGGCATTGATCATTGCCATCGGTCCTTCCCACGATTCGTTGTCTGGTTTGTTCAATTTACTCCACGACGAAGTTCTTCGGACCATAAAAGTGGCGTTAGCTCGACGCATGATGTCCAGCAAAACGGCGTATTGAAAGGCTGAGGACGCTAGTGAGGAGTCCATGCGACTCTGGAGCATCTCAATAGCAGTTAGTCCAGGACTGACGCGTTTAATCTGTAATTTTGGCACAGTTACAATTGTCCAAATGATTTTAATTTCCTTACCGCAACGGCGCCGTATATTTCAACTCCTTTAAGATCGAGTCTTCTTCTGAGTTTTGTATTCTTCCTGAAGTCTTGAGACACGTTAAACAACTTTCCATCCCAGAAGCCAACAAGATTCACAGAAATTGGATACAAAGGATCGAATTTGACTCTATAGAGCTCAGAAACTCTCAGCAAGGATGGATTTTCTTCAAATTCACCGGACAAAAGAAAGACTTCAGAGTCCCATTGCATTTTCACGGTGGCCAAGAGATTCAGATTTTCCTCGAGAGTAGCTGAAGAGTACAAAATCCACACGAAAGTCTCATTGAATTTGTTCTTTTCAGACATTGCTTCGAGGAATTCAATGCTTTTCCCACAATTCATATCGACAATCACACCCAAACGAGAACAATCAAATCGAAGCGATTTTTCCGCCAGAGCAAAATTCGCAGCAACATTTAAATTGAACGCTGAAGTCAGCACAAACTCGTTTTGGAGAGATTTTGTAATCCTTAGACAATTTTCTTGGGCACAGCACAAAATCACACTGGATTTGAGATGAGTTAAAAGAACAATTTCTCGAAAGAGACCAAGAAGAAGGTCCAACTTGAGCAACATTTTCTGTTAGACTGCAGAAAAATTGAGGACGAAACGTACAAATTGATAATTTTTCTCAATTAAATCGTGACAGATAATCAATATTTTATCCACGAGAAAATTGCTCAATTACAATGAATTTCTGCAAAGAAAAGATTGAATCACTTCGTTTCGATGACTTCATATGTGGGATCATTGGTGGGTGGTTTCTTGGACGCTTGGCTATCTTTCCTGCGTCTGCGGAACCACCAGATGCCCGAGCTCTGGGCGGCCGGCGGCTGAGCGGGCGCTGGAGGCGTTCTGGAGGCCGAAGGAGGCGTCAAGAGTAGCTGTGAAGCGATCTTGGACTTGATATCCTCATACTTGTGACGAAATTGCTCATTTTCCACACGCCTGGGCGGCGTTCTGGGCGTGTCGTAATTGAAGGATCTGTTGAGTTCCTCACGAGTGGGTCCACTGACTTCATCAGGCTCCACATAAATCCCATCTTCTTCACTTGCACCTGGAAAAATAACAGTGTTTGAGAGTGGTTCAGGCTTGAGTGTGAGAAAAACTTTACTTGGAACTGCAGAAGCCTCTTCTTCTTGTGCGTTGCCTGACAAGGCCAGGAGCCAAGAGGACTTCTCCTCAGTTGAAGGAGCCTAAAAATTGAATGTGACATTAATTTGTGCTTCCAAAATCACCTCTTAACTTAGTAAGATAATTAACCTGGAAGAAGGAACATGCTCCTGAAAGATCCTCCACTCCAAAGACCCTCTCTGGCCACCTGAACTCCTCGCCAGTTGCGCAATCCCAGGCTTTGGCCACCCTAATCGTGGTTCTGGGGCGCAAATCCCCAGTCGGACTGCCGTACAGCAGTAACCATCCGTCCAGGAAGCCGCCGAAGAATCTTCCAGTGCATCGAATGCTGAGTGCAGCGTCCAGAAAGCCCTTTCTCTCAGCTCTCTGCAAGTTTCCCTTCTGGCGACACGAGCGTAGACTCAAGTGCGCCACTGGAAGACCACGAAATGGACACTCTTGATCTGATTTTGGCACTGCGGAGCGCATTTCCAGGTAAGCATCCTCGGCGGTGGGAAAGCGAGCCAACAGAGAGTCACAGACTCTGGCCAGACGCGCCAATTCATCGTCAGAAACCGTCGATGGAGCCTCGAGAACCTCCCGAATGTCTGCAGGAGGGCGAGAATGAGGACTTCTTGGGGCACTGTGAGGATAATGAAACACTTACCGCGCAGGAAAACCCGCAGGTTATCCGTGGAAGAGCTCCCCATGGGCGGAACGACACAGCGACAGCAATAAATTGACTTGACCCGCGGTGCACTTTTGGTGACTCTGAGCTGTGAATCAGCGCCAGATGCCAAGCCGCACACTTCTCATTGGACTCCCGCGGCGTTCTCGCTCTTGCGTTGCTCATTTTCTCGCCCAGGAATTCACTCGCAGTCAATTGACGGCAATTGAGAGTAGGTTTTATCTAATAAGTCTGCGATATCGTGCTGATTTTGGGTGTAATTCTATTTTTGAGTAAAATTTTATTGCTCAAGTTTGAATACAAATTGGCCACTTTTCGTGACTCTGCCACAAATTCTCCCTTTTCTGTTGCATGTGGCCAAGACAGTGAAAATGAGGGTTTCAGGAAGGGCGAGTAGACGTTGACAGTGAGCAAAGGACGAACACAACCGCTTTCAAGCCTCTCAAAAGACATTTTATTCATTCTTGAATTTCTTTTATTCTCTATTTTAAGTTTGTCAGATAAAATTTTTTGGCTCTTTGTTATCCTCTTCTAAATCCCTGAGGCAAAGAAATGAATTTTAACACTTCAATACTAAAACAGTGTAATACAAGCTTTTTAAAAATAGACAAGCATTTTTGCCTCGGATCTAATGCAATGCTTCTGAGTGTTTTATGCAAAAATCCACTATGAAGCCCCTAAATAAACCCCAAAAAAGGACCGGAAGTGTCTGGAGGTCGAGAAAACTCACGAAATTGGTCATTAAAGCTTTAAAACGTCTTCTGTTTCATCAGACTGAGTCATTTGGTTTCCTGGTCCTCTAGAGATTCGTGGTCCATGTCCAACTCACCAGTTTCCAGCAGTCTCTGCTCCTCCAAGACTGCGGAATCGTCATCTTCCTTGTCTTCCTCCACTTCCATCTTGCTGCTGCGCCGACCGCGCTGATTCTTCGCTCTCTGCTTCCTGTCGAAAGCCTCCATAAACTCCAGCGCGTTTGTGTAGTCATCCGGCGGCTTCAGGTAGTCTGCATGGAGTGCAGAGATCCCGAGGACTTCGGGAATCATGTAGGAGAAGAGCCAGCCGACGAGAGGAGTGGTTCCGTAAGTGTACGACGCCTCCTTGTGATAGAACAGGAAGCCGTCAAGTGTGGGCGAGTCCTCCGGCCAATGAGGATGAGTGCCGAAAGCACTGGCCAAAGAGGCTTCGTCGGCACAATCGAACCGCGGGATGTAGTGGAAAGGGTAGTGATTGTCCCGATGAACGACAGAATAGTCATACTCCAGGAACTTGGACGTGAGCCAAAAGAATCTGAAGGCCGTCTCGCAGTGGATAAACTCCTGGTTTCTGTACACCAGGCAGTCCAGGACATGGAACTCACGCTTTCGTCCCGCGTAGATGCAGTCCAGCACTGTGACGTATTTTCCGCCCTCCAGACTCGACCGGAAGGTGCTCAGAATCTTCCCAGCTTTGCTGTACATGATCGTCCTGTCATTGGCCACCACAAGGCAACGCTTTCCCTTCGGGCATGGCACTACGTACCAGTTGTCCAGATCCTCAGGCCGCTCCCGGAGCCACTCCGACAGCTGAACCTTGTTGGCGTAGAATCTATCGAACACCGGAACTGTGTCCCTGCTCCTGCCCTCAGTCTTTCGGGGGTGCTTCTGGATGTACGCCATGATGCCGCGGTGCTCATCCACAGCCTTAGAGCGCTGCTGGCGCTGCTCCTCCAGCATCCGGTGGCGCCTCTCCGCCTGACTCTCCTTCGAGGTCCGGCTCTTGTACAACTCACGATACTTGCTCACGAAAATCTCGTCCATGGTCGTCAACGGTGCTTCTCGGTCACAGCGAACCGCGTCAGTGCCTTTGAGAGGCCGAAAACGCGCAGGAAATCCCAAGTGGAAAAATTCACTGCATGAAAAATGTAAACATATCATCAAACTGAAGTTTTCACCACGTTACGGTCTTCAGGTTGTTTCAGAAATTAACCGTTTCATTGTGGATACCTTTTTCTGTACTTACTAAACCAGTTGTATGCGATGATAAGATTTTATACTATTTTATTCCATATTCAAGTATTTTTCATGGAAAAAATTGATATTTTAGTATTACTTTGTAATTTTCGCAATAATTTCCTAGTCTTCGTCGTGATTTACACGCCCCCATACGGTGAACATCGGAAGTTACCTTCGAAACCCTCCAACATCCATTGTTTTTATATCACGTTGCGGGATACAAAGCCGCTGTTATCTTTCATAAAAAGTGCATTTCTCTTTCAAGAATACCCCTTTTTATGCTGTAATATATGTAAGAAAAACACAGCTTTTGTTTTGTTCTATAAACCATGGTGAATTACTGTTTGTTTTTCCAGAATTTCTTGTTTTTGAGAAGAAATTGAGGTTATGCTGCTCAGGAGATTTTCGAGGAGGCTTTTCTGCACCAAACCACCCCCAGGAGGGTCTTCTAATGTGCAAGAATTGCTAGACAATGCCGCCACCTTCGAGGATATTACCCCAAAGACGCCTGACGATGAGTGGGCAACACTTCCCTATCCAGAAGGGACTTCTTATAGGCAGAGTCAAGCGGCAAAGTCTCGAAAACCTAAAAAGGATCCTAGGAAAACATCTATTATTCTCTTCCCGGGCCAAGGAGCGCAATTCGTAGGAATGGGGAAAGATCTGGTGAAGATTCCCTCAGCAAAGGACATGTTTAGTCTCGCTAGCGAGATTCTGAAGTGAGTTTTGTGACTGGAAAGAGATTTATTGAATATTCCTAAGATTAACTTGTATCTTGTAGATTTGATGTCTTAAAGGTGTGTCTCGAGGGTCCTGTTGCGAAATTAAACAGCACGCGGTATTGCCAGCCGGCTGTTCTTGTGGCCTCACTGGCAGCACTTGAGAAACTCAAAGAAGAGCGTCCGGCAGCTATAGATGAGTGTTATGCGACTGCGGGCTTCAGTCTGGGCGAGATCACCGCACTGATCTTCGCCGGAAGCATTCCTTTCGACCAGGGCTTGAGACTGGTGCAAGTGAGAGCAGAAGCCATGCAATTGGCCAGTGACGCTGCTGCCGGCGGAATGGCGACTGTTCTGTACGGTCCGGATTCAAAAGTGGGCCAGGCCTGCCTCCGTGCCAAGGAATGGTGCATCGAGCGAGGTGTGGAGAATCCCGAGTGTCTGGTGGCCAACTATCTCTATCCTCACTGCAAAGTTGTGGCTGGCAGCGAGGAAGCTCTCAAGTTCCTTGAGACAAGCGCAAAGGAATTCGGCTTGAGGCGGGTCAAGCGACTGCCCGTGAGTGGAGCCTTCCACTCGTCCCTCATGGAGGCCGCTGTGCTGCCCTTCCGTCGTGCTCTGGACAAGATTGAACTCTCAGATCCGCTGATTAGTGTGCACTCAAATGTCGATGGGAAGCGATATCGTGGCGCCGAACACGTGAGAAAGCAGCTGCCCAAGCAGATCGTCAGACCTGTGAGGTGGGAACAGACGCTGCACATCCTGTACGAAAGGGCGCAAGGGACTTACTTCCCCAGGACCTTTGAAGTGGGCCCAGGGCGAGCCCTCACCACAATCCTCAAGCAAGTGAACGCCAAAGCGGCAGATCACGCCTTCAATATCTCTCCGTGAGACTATTTTTGTAGTAAAACTCTAGAATCTTGATTCTATCTTTATTTACACTTTAGCATCTCCTTGCGGGAGAAGTGGAAAAGGGGGAGGGGAAATGAAGACTACAACGTAAAGCTTAACCCAGAGACACTACTGAAGAAAATCTCCTGGAAGTCCTACAGCTAAAACAGAGAGACGGGATTTGGGTTCTTACGCTACTGACAGTGAAATGGGAGGATTTTACGGTGGCAAAAGGTCAAAGTCATCGCTCACGTGCACCATCGGCACGTGTAAGTCTTCAATCACGGGCTTTGCCTTGAACTCGCACAAAGAGAGCTCTTTCATCTTGAACTCCCAGTCCATCTTCTGAACCGCGTGAAGACTCTCAGCTTCATTGTGGTGACGCAGCAGCATCGCCTCCTGCAAAAGCCAACATCAGTTTGATTCTCAACAGACAAAATCTCTGCGGATTTACCTTAATCTTCTCCCACTTGTCATCGACGTCCTGGAGCCACGATAGGAAGAGCCTTCCATTGTAGCGAGATCTGGCATTGCGATCCTTCTCCTCCTGCTCGGGCGTCAGCATGTTGTACACTTCCTCATCCTTGAGGATTGTGCACACCGAAAAGGGCAGCGATTGATTGGCCAACGCTCTAGCTGCCCTGCCGTGCACCCGCAGAATCTCCTGCTCCACGGCTAACACCAGTTTCTCCTTCTCCACCACATGCTGCATCTTGAGGCGGTGTCTCTCCTTCTCCTGCCCCGCGAACTGCTCCTTCATGGCGCTGGGAATGTTCACCGGATAATTGATGGTGGGCTCCGTGTTTGTCTTCCCGGCCAACACGTACGTGCAACGATTCATGAGATAATCCTTGAAGCCCTGCGGCGGCTTTGGCTGCACCAGAAACAGATTCTTCTGTCGCCTCTCGATCTGCTTGCGAATATTGAGAAACATCTGGTAGCAATTCGTGATGGGCTGATCATGCGGATGCACCTCTGTTGACGACACACTCTCTTGCTGCTCCGTGGCGCCTCCAGATCCACTCACCACGCCCGCTGCAGAGGAATTCGTCACTGTTTTGCTGTCCTCCTTGCTGGCGCGAATCTTCCGCTTCCTGGGATGCAACTCCACAGTGTTCTGCGACTGGACGGTCGATGAGGAAGTTGACGAAGTGGCCGAGGACGGACTGGGTGCATTTCCACCGCCATCTGTCTCCGAAGCACTCCCAGAAACAGAAGCTGTGGCATTTGTGGGACTGCTCGTGCCACCGTTGGCGATTCCTCCTGTTGCAGCGTTTGCATTCGTTCCCGCATTGCTTCCAGTGGTTCCTGAACTCCCATTCGTGGCGCTTCCGCCGCCTGGAAAGACACACACACACATATCAAGAAATGTTTCTTTTGTTACTCTGTCCAATCTTACCTCCTTCCATGACTCCTGATGCCGAAGTAGGCGGCGCTGGAGATGGTGAAGAACTGTTCTGCATTTGTGGTGAGGAATTGTTGGATCCTCTGTCAGTTGTTGGGCCACCCGATCCACCAGAGGTCCCTCCTGACCTGTGAGAGCTTCTGAGGACTCTCGGCTGTGCCCTGTCATCTGTACCCTGTCCAGAAGCGCCGCTACTCGCTGCGGAGCTTCCACCTGTAGTCGCCACAGCGACAGTCAGCACAGGCTTCTTCTCCTCTCCAGTCGCTGTCTTCCCCGCTGCACCGGCCACCTCAGTCGGACTCGCGCACCTCGATGAGGAGCTCTCCTTGTCCGCCGACGCTTCATTGCTGTTGCTCGACGCCACAACATACGGCAAAGCTGGATGATTTCTCGCTGAAACACTCTTGCCATTCCTTAGACTAGCCTCCGGGTCAGCTGAGGAGCTCTGCTGAGGAATGACAATCTTCAGTGGAGGAACTTTTGGCCCTGACGCAGGAAAACCACCCGATTCCGCCCCCAAACCCGATGGATTCTTCGCCGACGCTTCATCTCCAGTCTCTGAGTCACTCTCAGACTGTTTCCCCACAGATCCCGCCTGAGTCCCCGCGAGAGGAGTCGGCGTACTCCCTGAGAGTGTCGTTGTTGTCTGTCCAGTTGCACCTGAAGCGCCAGTTGGCGGCGCCTGAGGCTTGGGACTGGCGCACGGACTTTTCCTCTCAATGGTAGAGCTGGGCTTCGCCGTGGCTGCCGCTCCTGCTGCTTTCTGGGCATTCCCCACGGGCTTAGCGGTCTTTGACGCTTGGGGCATTCTTGTGGGTGTTCCTACCTTTCCCGGCGCTGGCTCCTTAGTCAGTGTCTCCGAGTCCTTCCTCTTCTTCCTCTTCATCTCATCATCCACCACTTCATCCGATGTCTCAATCTCCTGATAAGGACGCTTCTGCTGAACACTCCCAGCTGCCTGAGATCCGCCAGAAGCCGTTGTCACACTCACAGTGACACTTGAACTTCCAGGCGTTGAAACACTGGCGTCCTCACTTGACGCCTTCTCTTCGGGCGCGGCTTTCTCCACGCCCGCTTCTATCTTACCAGAAGTTCCGTCATCTGAAGAATTTCCGCCGGATGTGGAGTCCTTCGGTGTTGTCTTGAATTCATAGACATCCTCCTCCACCTTCTGGCTTGGCGTGCTGCGCCCAGGAGTAGAAGAAGCCTGCGAACTCGCATCCTCAGACAGCGTTGCATCCTCGGCGGGCACTTTTTTCGCCTCCTGCGCTGCTGGCTTCTTCATCTGCACCCCAGACGCGCTGCTCGTGGTACTAGCCACAGATGCAGCAGTTCTGCTGGCAGCAGCATCTGCAAAGAGACGTCATTTTGATCAATACAACTTAACATAATATCTCCACCATTCAGGTCAGAAAAACTACGGCCTTTAATGTTTAATGTCATATTCAATTATTAAGTAGAAAAGCGCTTAAAAGTCCTAAAACTCCCTCCACATCATTAACTCTCCGAGGAACTCCTGCAGAAAACAATTTACATGAATTATTCAAATCCACTCCTCACTCATTTCACCAATCACTGTCAATTCTTCGACGTGATTTTTCATTTTCGCGCAATGAAAATATCTCCTTTTCCACCAGCGTGAATTTGATTTATTAACGTGAAACTCTTGCAATTCAATGGACCATCGAGCAATCAAAGGAATCATTCACCATGTCAAAAATTCCATTCAAAAATGTCCTTCAAGTAATTGCAATTGAAAATTCATCATTTCTCCTTCATATACCATTGAAAGACTATTGTTTGCCAATGTAGTTTTTCCTCCCTCCCATTTCCTATTTAAACACCCATGGGATGGAAAACCATGTCTTTTTCCACACATCCACATTTTCTCTCTCTCTCTCTCTCGCTCTTTCCCCAAAAAAGTCCTCTCGAGAGACAACCTATTTTTCAGACATGGAAAACATTTCCCATCACGAGGATATTTACCAATTTCACCCGAATTATCTGCTGCAGACTTCTCTCTCTTTTTTTTGGACCCTCCTTCGATTTTCCCCGATATTTTTTCCACAAAAAAAAAAGCTCTCTGAGAGGTGCTTTCAGTCAATTTGCCCAAAGCTTCACGATACACTTGAGAGTGTGTCATAAAAAGGAGGAAAAAACTTTAGTGTTTTTCTCTGTCTTTCTGGTTCAACACACAAGCATAGAAAAACGGAAAAATTGTGGGTTTGCAGAAAGAAAATTACAATTCATTTTGTGCAATAAATCGTGATTGTTGGAAGGCAAGCAAGACTTGTCGCCATGGTTAAATTGTGGAGCCCAGAAAGTGCAAGAATACATATCGACAAGCTAGTTCTAAAGCGGAGAAAAACCACAAGAAATCCATCAATTATTCACCACCACAGTTGGAATATAAATTGAAACAATTCTTGAGAACATCCAGGAGGAGTGAGAGGAGAGATTCAAGAATAAAGTGGCAACGATGATAATTTGCATATTTTCACGTATTCACTCTCCATAAGTGAGAAATTTTATTTCATGGCTTTTGTCACCCATAAATTCTACCAGTGAGACGTTCATTGGCAAAAAAAATAAGATTTTCTCATTATTCCTCCGCCCGCCTTTTTCACTTCTTCCCCAACCGGAAAATATTCTCTCGAAAAATATCCACACCTCCATCTTGAGATGTGCTTGAGTTTCATGGCGACTGGCACGATCGATAAATGACTGTAATAAATCATTTTTATTGCACAATTCCAAGATGCACTTCTCTCCTTTTGCAAACGCACATCTCGCAGAGAGGAAAATGGCATTTGAGAATAGCCAAGACGCTGAAAATGCGGTGTTTTTCATCTCTTTATCGTCTCTCATTTAATATTCAAAAGTGCGGTAAAGTGTAATGAGATGTGAATTTATCATTTTTCACCACGTCAATTCGCTATTCCATCTTTAATGTAGGAAATTATTCGCCTTTTTTGCATTTCTCAGCAATGTTCAAACAGACATTCATTTTCTCAGAAACATTTCAAATTAATTTTCTCGGAACACAGTGAAAATTGCAAGAACGGAAATTGAGAAATTTTCCGAGATGCTTGAGCATTGATTTTCTCATCCAATAATTAACAGGGAGTGTGAGAAAATTCTCCAGTAACGGAAAGAGAGTTTCAAATAACTTACAAATCAACATCTAAGAAAAGGTAAATTAATTGAAGCTTCGAGCACTCCTGCAATTAAATTCCTTTTCAATTTCATAATGATTTGCCATGGAAAGTAAACTGAATTCCGTCACGGAGAATATCGAATAAGCACTTTATTCCTCTCCAGTGGAGTGTTTATTCCAGACAAATTCGAAAATACAACAAACAAATTTGCATACAAATCCAGTGATACACCAATAAGTGTATTTTCTTGGATGGAATCATCCGTCTTATCACTTGTTCAAAAATTTATTGTTCAATTGTTTATTCTTCTCCTCTTCTCTCTTCGCCCCACATAGCAAACGTCACACGGGAATAAATTTCATTGCGATAAGAAAACATTTCTTTTGTCGTGAGGAAGTTGAGCAAAAAAAAGAAGAATTTTTATAGTGCCTGTTTAAAGTAATGCATGGAAATTTACCGGAGGTTTTTTTTCCACCAACAAGAAGAGCAAAATATTGTAGAATATGCAAAATTACAACGAAAGGACATCCAATTTGACACAGAATCACGTACAGTTTATTTGGGGATTTGTTTAATCTATAAATAAACTGTTTGGGCTGATATAAATCTCAAAATAGAATTGAAGGCACATCTTGTTAATCTCGAAAGAATCTCTCTTTCGCAGTCCTCCAGCTGGAGCGAAAGAGAGAGAGAGAGAGAAAGCATTTCCTCCCAATTATTCCATGGAAATACTCTCTTTTTTCCCCCTCGCGGAGTTAATTGATTTGCAGATTAAAGATTACATTAGGTATTCAATGGGAAAAAATACACAGTTCACTCGAGCATCTCGAGCGTTGCAATCTACAATCTACATGTGAAATCCAAATAATTCTCCCTCATTCTCAAGATCAAAAAAAATCACTATTTCTCTCTCGATGCCTATGTCTTCATTTTTCCATGGAACCCAAGCAAAAAGCATCGCACATATTGTTCTATATTCATACCGTCTCTCATGGAGAAACATTCACAATTCACATCGATTGAAAACATGGAAAATATTTTATGAGATCTCATCCAATTTATTTATTATCCCTCTTCTTCATGTACAACATTTTTTTTCCTCATTTGTTGTCACCAATCCCGGTTAGGAAAAGAAGGTGCCAAAATGCTGTCAATGAGTCACACGGACCCCTTCAAACGACTTCATCGTTCGATTGCGCGCCAAGACATTGAGAAACGTCCTCACGGGTGGGAAAATGCGTTTCCCTCACTCGAAAATTCTCGTCTTATTCTCTCTCACACTCGCGAGACACCCAAAATAGATTACAAAACATGTCTTCTCAACAAATTTAACATCACAATAGATGAAATGGATAAAAACACAGATCTCTTGCAAGAATCAGCTTCACTTTTACGATCTCATTTGTGCGCAAATTTGACTCAACGTAGACAAAAGCACACCTCTTATTCCGCAAATCTTACCTTTCCACATCAACACGAATATGCAAATTCCCTCAACACTTCATCTGCTCCTCATCTTTATCTACACTCCAACTCAACTCTGTAACTGTCTGCCTTGAGATTTGAACTTCTTCGTGGTCAGTTTGAGAAAATCTTCTGCAGCTTCTTGACTACACTTTTTCTCCCCTTTTCAAAATACACTATCAATTGCCGAATCTTCACGAACTCTCCCTCCCACTCACACACAAAATCACAACCCCAGTGAAATTCTAGTGCTCTTCATTGTTCTTCAACTGTGACAAATTATTTGGAGCAATTTAATTGCAATATCACAGCATATCCGCAAGTCCACAAGACAAAGTTTCCGAGTAATTTTCACCAAAGTTGCAAAACTCGTGAAAATTTATTCTTCACGTGAGACGTTATGTGACGACGGCCAGGCATATTGATCGTTGGCCACACGCCAAGTTGTGAAAATGCCTAAGAAGAACCAAATACGAACACTCTGCGATCATGCCCTATCTCAAGTCGCCCGGACCATTGTCCAGGCGATCGGCGACGGCACGTTCATGTTCGCCGGAGAATTGGCAGTGGTTATGGTGCAAATAAACGACTATCTTGAGAATGCTGGGGCGACTAGTGACATATATCAAGATCTGCTCAGAGTTATCCTATGTTCGGACACCCTAGACGCCAGCATTAGATTCACATGCCTTCAGATGCTACTGAACGGTAGCGTTCAATTCCTTGTGACTGAAATCTTCCCCTTTTCCTACTACGAAAAGATATTGCAGGTATTTTATTAAGCAAAGACTTGAATAATGAGATTAATCTAGATTGTGATTCAACCTGTATTTCCAGATCATCTCCGCTCAAGGACATGGCTTGAGATACTTGAATCTCAAAGGAGTCTGGGTGAAGGAAGAACTGATGTTCTATCTCTATGACATCATGTCCAAGTTGCCTCATCTAGAGCACCTAAGCGTCCCCTATATTGCCAATGACGAACTATTGGAACACATAGGCAAACACAGTCGCAATCTACGAGTTCTTGATATCGCTGGAGAGACAGACATAACGGAAATAGGGATGGAATGTCTCTCTCTCGGCGTCTGCAGAGAGACGCTATCAGTTGTGGACATAGGAATGCTTAGAGAGGAGAATATTTGTCACACAGACGTTGCTTTGCTTCTCTCAAATTGCCCCAATATTGTCACTTTGAGAACCTATTCCTACGTTGGTCGCTCATTGGTGCACAACCTGCGACAGGATCCAGGATTTAGATGTAAACTCAAATACGTCCACGACACTGAGACCACAGACAAGATCCTCGATGCCATTGTAACGTGTTGTCCGGCATTGGAGAATCTCTACATGGACACTCCAGATGCTGGGATTCTGCACAAACTGCGACACCTGAAGCACCTAGAACGTCTCAAACTCTACAAATTCAGCTGCAAGGAACTTGATTCCGTCCTGATGACTGGTCTCGGTGCAAGATTACACTTCATGACACTGATAAAAGGTCGAGGAACCCTAGACTTAGGCAAGCTAGCCAGCACCTGTCCTGGAATCGTCGATCTAGATTGTTACATGATGGACCTGCTCGTCTTCGCCTCAGACCACACCTTCGAAGCCCTCGAGGGACTCGAGATTCTCAGCAGTTCAATAGTCCTCAGCAGTCTGAAGCACTTTGTGGCTAAACACACAACCCTCAAGCGACTCGCAATAGATACAGTTCAGTTTACGGATGAAGACATGATGAGGTGGGTTTTCTGCACAATCATCCCGAATCAATTGAACTTTCACTCCCTCAAGAAAGAAAGCATGAGAAGGGAAATCCGAAGAGATTCTCTCTTCTGTGAACATTCCAACATGAAATGTTCATATATCATTGACAGATTTTCACTCAAAGGTGGGATCAATACTAATGCTTTGGGGATTGCAAAGTAAATCAAATGCTGAAAACCAGACTTTGCGCACTATTTGCTGGAGAAGACTTTATAAGCAAATATCAATTGGAAGTTCAATAGCTTATAAACTAATTCTGCTGACGTGACCATCAATAATTTCTATCTTTGTTTACTTTTCTATCTTTTTTTCATTATGATTGCGAGAAGTCTTTTCGTGGAGAACAACTTTAATGTACTCGAAGATATCTGGTTTACATCGGCGCCCAATTTAACAATTAGCACAGTTGAGATTCTGTTGGAACGCTGCCCAGAACTTCAGAGCTTGGGCCAATTGAGCGGCTGGGCACTCACACCTGACGATCTGTCACTTCTCCGTGGTATCCTCAAGAGTGGAAATTCGAGTCTCGTTCTCTCGCCATCCAGCATCTTCCCTTCATAGCCTTCACAGATTATAATGAATAAATAGCTGCAGAATGTGCTTGGAAATTCCACAAAATGCTAATATACGAGGAAGGGCAAAAGTGAGCAAATTTCCCCCAAATTAATGCTTCATCACTGAGCTCTCCATTGAAGGTCCCACAGCCATCTCTCCCTGCTCTCACGCCGCCCCGAAACGGACGGGAATGGTTATTGGCGCAATTTCAGGTACAACATGATAAGATTCAACTCCATAATGCTCCACTGTTGTTCCACATCATCCCCATTGTGCAAACAATATTGAATATCATCCCTCTCGCAGCGACAAGGGTGAAAAGTAAACAAGGAAAACTCCAAGAGCAACTCAGACAAAGTGGCCAAAGCATCGATGGTGTGAGACGAGCAGAACTACACAGAAAAACTTTTACCTATACTGTCGAGTAAAATCAATATCGCAATATGTAGTTGTTATTGCAAATAAAAGAAAACTAAAAAAAAAAAAACTGTTCTCAAAATGTGTCTCGACTAATAAAATTTATCATTAGTTTCCTGCTGCTGCTGCTTTTATCGCAAATTGGCCACAAGGGAGGTTAATAAAGAAAGAACACAGCACAAGTTGCATTTATGTCTTCTTGTGCGCAAATAACGAACTTAATGCAACTTCCTCTCCACGGAAGTGCCTTCTTACCCTCCTTCACACATTTCTTATATAAATGCCATCACGAAGTAGACTCAAAACTACCATGGCAACAGATACTTCACCTTGCTCTTGCGAAACCTCCATGTAATATTATTCCACTGTAAACTGAGAAAAATAAAATACATTTCACAAACCGAGAACAGTTTCATATAATCAACTCTCCCGACGCTGATGGCAAATGCATTTCCTTTCCCACAATTTTCCCCGAAATGTAATTGATTTCAAACTCAACATAAAGTTTTCAGCATTCTCAAACATAATTCTAGCGTTTCAGTTAATTGAATACAAACCCATAATTAGGTCACCACTCAAAAGAGATGAATTTATGTTGAATAAAAGAAGCGAATATTGTTCACTTCCACGGAAATTCAAATTGACGTTCATGAGAGGCGCAATTTTAACTCATTTAAAGAGTTCACAGACAAAAATAAATATGCACAATATATCCCAAAAAACAAAGGATGATTTTTTAATGAACCGCCAAATTAATTTATGTTTTATGTTGTCTATAAAGTGAATTTATCATGGCTTTATATACTATCACATTTGATAATAACACATCAAAGGAAATATGATATTAATTAAATTGCTGCTCATTTTGATGCACCACATATTTTGTTTTTCGCCTTGACAGCTGTCAAACAGACTATCTTTTTGAGGTTATTTACGTAAAGAGGGTCGAAAAGGGTCAAAAACCACCCCCTCGAAAGTACGTGAGATCCTCAATAATGGCATATTTGGTCCACATTTCACTTTTATAGGGAAATTGTAGTTTGCTGAGGAAGAAAAAGTGCAATAAACCGGCCAGAAAGTTGGCAACACAGTCAAGAGGCAGCGAGAAACTCCCCAGAATGGCTGAACCCTAATCAAATTTATGGATGTGACACTGATATTTCCGCTTATATCCGGCACACGTCCCGCTATCATGTTACGATGTACGCTATACCCTTGCAAGTGCAATACATCTTCATAATATGCGAAGAAGAGGCTCATGCTTTGGCATGTTTGAAGCTTATGCCAAGGGTACTCAAGTATATTATCGCCAATATATCCATTGGCTGCGAGAGAGAAAAGAATAAAGTGGAGAAGAGGAGAATCATCTCCAAGCCCCGAGACCTCCCCAGGTTGTTTATTCATTGGCAATATTGCCTCTCTCACTGCGGTTTCCCTTCAATGGAAGAGAGAGAGAGAGAGAGAGACGTTCAGTCAAAAACTTTTATCCCAAGTCAGCAAAATCTGCCCATTATCGCGCGAAGCGAATTGTGAGATATAAAATTCCACCCGTTTATGATTGGCATTCACCAAATGCTTGCTTTCACACATAAAATTTCACGACTCGCCATTTCTGCAACAATATAACACCACCGCCAGAGTTTGAAGACTCTTTTGCTCATTACATCGCTACTCAGAGTTGAGATAGTGAAATTGGTAAAAATCGCAGAAGCTGTCACAGCTGTCAAAATGGTCTAGCTTTGACAGATGCCAATGTCAAAGGTTAGCTGCTAATTGAAATGATAAGGAGCTTAGAAACAACAAATAATCCACCCAATCTCTTCCCAGTCTGAGTAAATATAGTGACAACTTGTTTTCCACTTGAAAATACATATAATGTTTAACTTGTCGCACAATTTATCGCAATTTGCAGCTCACGATTGAGAAGTTTTAACTCGATGAGATATGAGCCTGGATTTTTGCTTATGCCATTCCTATTTTGCTTGTTGACTCAACTGATTATTTCTCTCGTTTTCCACTGTGACTTCTTGTATCTCCGATCATGTGCATCTGTATGTGTTTCCTTTCCGTTCACTCTGTGGCAAGCAAACATTGTTGCCAATGCGAGGTGAAATATTCGTGCGACATTCATTGCACACAGGGTAGACTTTAGGCCAAATTCGCGCCTTTCACGCACATTGTGCGTAAAAGAAATTCAACCTGTCATCACATATCAGCTGCGGTCACAAATCAGTGAGAAAATAGCCGAAATACTAATCTCAAATCACACTTCGAGCCCACCCTGTGGCCACCTTGTACTGTATGGCAGCACACCATTTGAATTCTGATCACAATCTCAATCTCTCAATATGACGTCGTCACTGAACTGCATATTTTCCTCCAATGTGCTCCAACTTTCGCCTCCCCCAGAGCAGATTTTTCCTCTCATTTTCACACACACACACACACGCGCTCACATTTGGCGAATCTCCCCACACACCATCATCTTTGCCCAGAGAAGAGTTGAGAAAATATATAAACGGGGGAGGATAAAAATATTGATTTGAGAGATGATTTAACGCATACTTCTGGCAAATGCCAGAAGAATCATTCGCCCTTCCCCTAAGCCTATCTAACGACCCAAAAATTCCCCCCATTGCCTCAATCAAATTTCAATTGATCATAAAAATGGCTCACATTGTCAGAATTGTTAATAAATATCTATTTGTGCCACAAACTAAATTGCTCTATTATTCATTACTTCTGCCATCATTTGCCCACAAACATCTCTCAAATGGCTCTCCCCCATCAATTTCAACCCTGACAAAATAACATTTCCAATGCATTTTAATAACAATATTTCACCCTGACTGTTTTCGCCTCTTCACTGGCAAATGTTCAGCATGAAAGGTGTCCTCTTTGCCTTCGCAATCAATAGTTGACCTCATTTGAGCTTGAGGTCTCACATATTTTTCAAAATCCCACCTTCATGCCACTCATTTTTCGCACAAGAAGCAATAAAAGAAAAAAATCCTTCATTGTACCAAAATTAGGTCAATGCCATAAAAGCCACCCCCAAAACTTCATCTTTTAATTGCAATCTCACTTTACAGCACTGCAATTACACACTTTCGGCGAAATCCATCCAATTTACGGATCTCTTTTCGCCTAAATATAGGAGAAACTTAATGACGCTGGCAACTTGGCTTATTTACGGATCGCGCTATAAATTGATACATAATGTAAACACATTGGAGAGTGTGTTGGAGTACTTGGCAGTCGACAAAATAAGCAGCGAGAAGAGGTCTTTGGGTATCATTTTCCCACTATTGTTGTACCCCCCCTTCCCAAAACATTCCGGAAAAGATCACAACTTCTGATACAGATGCACTAAATCACATCCCAAAACCGATAAAGGCCAATGACTTTTTCACATGCCCTATAATGTCCTAAGCGCCAAAACGACAAATCCAATTAACACCAATTAACCAAAAATTCCTCATAATCCATTCCCCACCAAAGTCCGTGGCACTCAAGACTCAATAGCTCTGACCCAGGGCGACTGAGCGTCTCATCAACTTGACCAAGCATGATTTGTGAGCCCCACAGAATCACAGCATTCGACATTATTATCAATTTCAATGGGCACCCGCAATGCGAATGAAGAAATTCTTCGATAAAAATTTTTATCTCGACATTCATAGCGCGTATTATTGTGATAAGTCTACCCCTTTCCGCGGGCTATAAATAAACTCAAAGACCGCTGAAAAAGCCGTCTTTGTCTCTCGCACACTCTCCTTCCATGTTCTATCATTTTTTTCCATCTTCCAGTGTATATTTCGGAGTTTGCTTCCGTGCCTTATTGCCTGAATAAAGTGAATAGAAAAACATCTTGCTAAAATCTCAAACTACTCGACATTAATTAGAGTTGAGAGAGTCTCTCCTATATAGTTAACAAAACATTATATCGCGCGCCTGTGATTTTCCAACACAGACCAACATTATCGCAGAGTCGTGATGGTGGACGGGAAAAATATTATGCTAGATTGAAGTGTATTTTCAAACAGATTCAGGCAGAAATCATTCTCAGAAGCCGCACAATCTTCTCTCTTTAGTTTACTAAACGGGCAATTCACAGTAATCTTAATACATTACAAATGTACATAAAATAATAATTGAGCTTTATCCCCACTCTGACGAGATCTCACACTTAAGATGTCATCAGAGTTGAGAGAATCGAAGAAAACTATAGATTAGGATAATGTGCCCACTTTCTTATCGTCAGCCAAAACATTAAGCTTTCATATTTCAAGTTCTTAACTCTCTAAAGGCACTCACAATGTCTTTAGCAACTGATAATTTTTAGATGAAAAAATCGCATTTCGCATCCCCTTTGATTTTCTACATTGATTTTACTGCACGAGATTTTTTGCTATAACTTCGCTGAATAATCACCCCACATAGAGGAGAGTTATTTATTACACCAGTCATAAATCTTTATTTCTAATCTACACGCTCCTCAGCTCTTCTAGACTGTGACGAGTGTAATAGTTAGCGAGTGTTTTGGTAGTTATTGACTGATACCTTTGTTCTGCTGAGACGCCAGTGCTCGACGCTGCATGATTTAAATTGCCACACGGATTAGCGGATGATTTGGAGGTCCGGAAACTTCCACCCAAGTCAAATGTCTCAGATTTTGCCCCCAAGTCTTATCTCTCTATCTCGTCTCAGCCTCTCCGTTCACTCTTCACGCACTTTCTGGTGACATCCTCCGGCTTGAGTCACTTTCACACACTTGGGCATAACTGTGAAATCTCGCTCGACGGTGTTTTGGTCTTATTCTTGCTCTCTCACTCTCTCGCCTGCGCTCTCGCAGTATTTGTCTGACCACAAGAGAAGCGGAAGTTCCTCAACGGCGAGACGTCTGAGACCTGCCGACCATATATACTTTCTCCCTCTGGCCAAATCTCCCAATCTGTTGACACTTCCGATTCAATCCACCGTCGAATCCCGCGAGTTCTCTCACTCTATTGTCTCTAGTGTACTTCTCCGTTCCTCCTATGCTAAGTCGAAAATAAATCACTAATGACTGCAATTTTTGACACACTCGCACAACCACACACTCGCTGACTCAGAACGAGACACTTCACTTTTCCCAATGGTCGCTTTTCCGCTCAACTTCACGCTTTCAGACTGTCGTCATTGTCTCAAGAGCGACTTCTCTCCAATAAACAAATCCCACGATTATCACACCACACAGAGTCACAGTCTTATCTCCTCGATGTGCCCTTCTTCCGCCTCAGTCGTGCCAAGGACCGCCACTCAGTGGGACCAGGTCCTGATGCTCAGGTGCTCTCCACCGTCGCACTGAACATGCAATAGCAGACAACCATTTGGCGTACAAATAGGACGACAGCGACATTACAATTTCATACGATACCCACTTCTTCCTCTAACTGTATCGACATTGCGAAACCGCTTAGTAGCGCTATCCCAGTCAGTCGTGCACCGCTCTAGCGCCCTCCGACACTTGTTCGCACCGCCTATCTCACTTCCACACTCCGCTGCAGCTGTAGTTGTGCCTCTGAGCCGGTGACCGGGTGTTTAGCCGCACACAAGCGACGTGTCTCGCAGTCTCAGGTCTCACCCCAGCAGCCCTCAGTCACTTGCACCGACACACCACTCATTAAGTCAATTAGCCGCGCAACTTCCGTCCTTGTCCCACCCGCGACAGAGACGCAAGATACACCAGCAATTCCTCTGTCGCTCGGAGCGATCTGTGCGCCTATGCTTCTGTGCCAAATGCCCAAGAGTCTCTGAGACTGATCGACAATGCCGTGAGTAACCAAGTCATCACGACCACAATCATGGGACACAGAGTGAAACGGATATACTAACACACCTCCGTATCCGTGAGACCCCAACGCACGCACACACACACACACACCCACCAACCTATCTCAAATTGCGGGCATTCTCAGAAGAAAAGCGATCCGATAAACCATCCCGTCTCACCCAAACCCGCCGCCCCTCGGCTAGGGTCACACGCCAACCCACAACAGATGCGCTCGCCAGCCGAAAAGAGACGGCAACATCAGTGACGTCGACAATTCAGAATCTTGGCAAGGCTCATTAATTGATGACTCTTCGAAAGGTTGACACAGATCACAAATTCTGTTGTCTCCCTCGCACGCTCTTCGTGGATTAAAATTGACAACCTCGGAGAGTTCCTTCAACCCTTCTCACCACTCTCCTGTCTCTCTCCCACCACAGACCAAGTCCCCTACAATCTCCCATCTGCCGTCACCTTCGCGCCCGAACGAATGAAGAGTAAATATTTAGACAAATGGCAATTCTCTATCTTCCATGCGCGACAGAGATAGAATGCAAATGAGAACAACCAAATTTCCACCGTCTGGAGTGGGAGGAAAATTTAATACTCTAAAACACGATATAAATAATTAATTTCCATCTCCTTCTCATAAATCACTCTCTAAAAGAATCCCCTCAATGCTCAAGAGAGAGAGAGACAAAGAATCCTCCGCCAAGCATGAAAGCGAGACAACCGTATTCCTATATACGATGATCTCGCCTATGTAAAAAATCCAACAGGAGTCGTCATTTGATTAACGCCATCATATTTGTTTCCTAATACGAAAATTACACACTTATGCCCCTTATCTGGTGACTGCATCTGTCCCATTCCACCCCCAGTCGACAGCACTTCGTCTCTGTCACACACCAAGCCAGACGTCACTCACACAGTCAAAGGGGATTTGCCAGAGTGAAAATCCCCACAGTCGTAAGCTCTCAGATTCGCAATACACTTGTTTACATATGGACTTTGTGTACTAAAGACCCCCAAAAGTCATATTTTACAGCTGTCTATGCGCATTCGCCGCTACCTTCAGCAATATTGCATCGGAGCTTCCCAACATTTTCACCTGGAGAATTGGGTTCTTTGTGTCGCAAGAGCTGGCGGAGCATTTCACTAGAGGCGGTGCATCAAAAAAGGTGGAGAATGTGATATTTTGACTCATGTAAGAAACTATTATTTGTCTTTCATTGCCTCTGCTCATTGGTCGTAATTCATTTGTTGCTCTAATATTGATTTCTTCAAGATTCTCTGCCCATTTTTATGCAATCTTGTGGTAGAATGCAAAGGTACTTCCAAACTTTGTATTTAAATCATTATGTAGTCTGTGGTAATCTCTAGAATATTGTCGCCCTTCTAACTAAGCTGACAACTTAAAGAAGAGAAAGAAAGATTCTTCTTTGATGAGGTAAAAAAGGGCGAAAAACTGCATGAAGAGTTGAGGAATCTCCCTGAATTTTCCACCAAAAAAATGTTGAGAAGGCGTGCCCCCGAGTCAGTCACTCAGTCGAACATATTGGGGAGCGACGAGACGCATATTTGCGTGCTCCAGTGCGTCTCTTTCACCACTGTCGCCCTCTCTGTCGCCCTCATCTGAGTACATTGCAAAATGTAACTTGTATATTCAATGGCCTCCTGTGAGCATTTCCCTTCGCCATCCCATCTGATAATGTGGCATCCGAGTGGAGGAAAGTGGTCAGAATATGCACAGCGTACATAGGATTATGTGTACAAAAGATATTTGCACTCAACTCCACCCATTAATTGCCAATTATATGAGAAAGTTTGCAATAGGTAATTATAATTAATTGCTAATATATTGACTTGTTTTTGGGGGAAATCTTAATGGCTGGTTCAATCTTGCTGCCTTTCTTACATCTTCACCCCTCGTAAAGGCGTGTTTTTTGTTCATTTGGCGAGTTTTTCTTATATTACGCCTATGAGGGATGCTTAATGAGTAAAGAATCTCCGGTTGGCGGGTAAATTCAGTCATATACATTCTATTTAGGGATGTAATTGCAGGATTTTTACACAATCCCACTTCTGATTTATTCATCTGCCGCTGGAGACGATGAATTACCCCCCTAAATTCACAAACTTCCTCGCTTTATGTGTTCGTGAGTTTGACGGTAAATCTCACAAACACTTGCGAGGCAAACTTTTATGTTACCAACATAAAATTCCCATAAAAGAGCGAGAGAAGCTGTCATGAGCAAGTGAGCACACTCTATGGAGACTACATTCCAGAGAGTCTATTGACTTTTATAGCAAGACTCTCTCTTCGCTATTATGGCTCGCTATTCTCACGCTCTCGCGGATTTCCTATTGAGAATCGCCCTCAAAATAGGCGCGCAAATGCTCCCAAATATAACGACTTTCGCTTACCTTTGAGGTAGCCGTAGACGGAGGGCGCGGCGATGTCAACTGGTGTCTTGCCCTTGTGATTCTTACTCGTGGGATCAGCTCCACGCTCCACCAGCAACTTCACCAGCTTCAGCTGTCCATCCAGAGCGGCGTCGTGCAGAGGAGTCACGTCTTCGTAACCCTTGGCATTTACATTGGCTCCGGCCTTTATCAGCAGGGAAGCGACGTTGTAGTGCCCATGATTGCAGGCTTCGTGAAGTGGGGTCCAGCCTGTCGAGAAGAGCCGATATTCAGTGATTATCCTGCCAATTAATGCAATTCTGCCTTCTTACCCGCATTGTCCGCTAGATTGGGACTCATTCCTTGATCCAGGAGTTTCTTCACGGCATCGTGGTCGCCCTTAATCGCTGCAACATGCAGGGGACTCTCTCCGCGTCCGTTTTTATCCCTCCCACGCGCCGATGCGTGTCCACCCGGACTCAGTTCTGCAATTACAGTATAGTTTGAGTTTCAGAGCACCTCATGTGGGTGACATTGTCATCCGGGACTCACCTGGCTGCTGACTGGAAGAGGTCATCTGCATGAGGAGTGCCATTTGCTGACGTTCCGACATCGGCGTGTTCGTGGGCACTGGCCGGCCACTTCCGGACGTGTTGGAGCCCCCGGAGAAACCGCGTGGTCTCGATGTGGACGGCATTGCCGCTTTACATTCTACGCCGCGAGGGAAAAGTTGGGAAATTGGAGAAAAACAATCCACCTCAGGTCGGATCTAACCTCAAATGTTCTCTCAGCACTCCAACAACGCTCCAGCCTCTCTGCGGGGGCGAATCTCACTGCTGTGGGGTGCTCGAGGTGCTGCTGCTGGGATTGCTGGGAAGAATTGAGACTTTGCCACTATTTATCTGGGGTTTTTGCGCAATATTTTCACTAGGAAATCCACTAGCAAGTCCGGACGCCAAAATGAACATGACATATGGTCGCTTTCCGACGCGACTTTTCCCGAAGAGTGGCCGCGGATGGCCTGAGTTCAGCGCGAGATGGCAGTGTGCGCGGTTGGAAGTGAAAATTTTTGGAGGGGATTTTAAATAGGCAAAACGGTTGATTTATGTAAATGGTTTCAACAAGAAAAAATAGGCACTGCTATTAATCCATCAAATGGAGTATTTTAAAAATCCTGAAACATCTTAAGTGAAAGCATGAGAGCGTAATAAATAAATTTTTACTAAACGTCGGCCATAAAGTTAAATATATTACTCCTAATTTCTCTAGACTTTCTAGAAAATTATACTGCGCCCGAGTCAAAGGTGAGTCCATTGGCGCCAAAAAGGTGCGAAAATGTGACTTGACTGGTCTTCGTGTGCGACTGACGAGAGCCCATGGAATTTCCGCGCATTTTCCCAGTTTTTCCGCGGGCCGCGAAGTGGCGGGAGGTATACATTAATTAAAACCACCCACCTGTTCGCCTTTGCGTCACTCTTCGGCATTGTTGGCATATTTTTCACGCCTCTTCTGGCGAATTATTAATTGTGCCTAATGATTGCATTAAGTCATGGGCGAAATTTTCCCAATTTCTCCGCCAGCACGGGAAAAACCCCGCAAGCCAAGCGGTGGGGAATTTTACAAGAGTCAATCCACTTTAGTCGCACAGTCAATTGGGCTGAAAGGAAAACTCCTGCAGAATTTATATCATCTACAGGAGAAAAGTTTCCTGTCCAACTGAATTTCAATCAATTTGGCACGACTTTCCCATCTGATAGGCGGCAGTAATGAAATTTTCTCCGGAATCTGTCGACTCGGAGGGGATTTAAATGCGGAGGAGCTCGCCAAGCTCTTGAGGAGACATTTCTGGGATAATTTGTGGCGAAAGAGGAGGCTAAAAGCAGCCAAGTGGGTCATCAGGAGTCATCTAGTCCGGCTGAGAGATGATGGAGAAAAAACCCAATTTCGCTGCCCAAAGTGGGGCAAACTATTTTCCGGGATTCCTCTTTGATCCCACTCACACTTTTCTCCTTATCGCCCATGGAATATATTTTAATGCGAAAATTCGGCGTACATTTCATTATTTATTGTGATTAAGAGTATTTTGGCGATAAGAGTTGAAACGGCGACACGCGGCTGATGCTATCAGTTTTTCTGAGAAATACTGAATCACATTATCACTAGTGAAAATCACAATTGTAATGTTTTTTCGTGTCACTTGAATTTATTTTACATAATTAATTATTGAAGTATTTTCTAAAACTCTCTCTAGCACGGAAAATTTATTAAGAACGAAAATTCTTGAAATATCAATTATAGTTTTCATGAAGACACTCACTTGTTTTTAAACTAAAGAAGCTCATCTTATTACGTTTATCAGTTTCACAAAATGTTCACACTTCTCCAAGAACACATTTCCCAGTGACGTTGTTTCTCAAAAGGCCGCCGTCCGCCGCTAGCCGCTGTTGGGCTCTCGATGAATGTTTTGTCGTATATTTCATGATTGCTTTCCTCCCTCCCACCGGGTCACGCGGGCGGGCGGGCGCGCCAAACAATCGCGTCGACCGGTAAATAGGCGCGTATTTA